CTCGTTTTGCTGTTCTGCGTGACAAACTCAGTGTGGTTGACTATCACTCTTTGTTTCATCCACCCTGAGTTTGAGGGGGGCTATTAGAGTAGATACATAGGGATATATTTGTAATATCTGATAAGGGTACTTTTGTAATACACCAAGTGTAATTAGTTACACTAACCAATTCTGTTCAACAGAACCAGTGACGTGGCTCTTACCCTTAGCACTATAAAGGGGTCACGTGTGCTGATTTACACATAATGAAAACATGAGATATTTTTCACTTTTCTCTCTTCTCTCTCTCTCTCTTTCTTCTTCATCTCTCTTCTGGTTTCTCTGACAGAGTATGTTCAGTGGATCACACAGGACTCGATGCTTCTATCGTGGTTTTTGTCTACTATCTCAGAGTCAGTTGTAAATGAAATTCTTGGAGTCAAGTATGCTCATGAAGCTTGGGATAAAATTCACAAGCTCTTCCATGGCGTGATGAAATCCAGATCTCGTCACCTACGTTCTGAGCTCAGATCTATCAAGAAAGGTAACAGATCTGCTAAAGAATACTTAACTCGAATTAAAACCTTGTGTGATTCGCTCAAAGCCATAGGCAATCCAATCACAAATGAGGATCGAACTGATTATATACTGGAAGGACTTCCAGTTGATTACAATGCGTTTGTTACCACTGTTCATGGACGGGAAAATCCATATTCTATTGAGGATCTAGCTATTGAGCTAATGACGCATGAACAAATGCTTCTGAAACAGAATGAAGCTCTTCTTGAATCAGTCAATGTGAATATGGCTCAGAAACAGAGCAACACTTCTGCCACAAATCCTTTGTTTGCCCCTGTTTTCGAGAACCAGAAACAGAGCACTGGTCAATTTACGCAACAGTCAGGATTTGATGATTTTTCTCGTTCCAATGGTTCAGGTAGAGGCCAAGGACGTTTTAATGGAAGGTTTAACAGAGGTAGAGGGCGTGGTGCCAGATTGCAAGTTTATTGCCAACTATGTCACAAGTACGGTCATGATGTGAAGACCTATTGGCATCGTTTTGATGCAGACTTCGTACCCAACCTTCCACCTCCTGAAGCTTCATCAAATGGTCAGTTCTTTCCTCAGAGACAGCAACTGCATCAGCAACGTTCCTATCAGTATGTTAGGCCTATCTCTACCGCACCACAGGCCATGATAGCAGCTCAACCTGGCTTGCTGCCAACTCCTCCTATTCCTCCTACTCTTGAGTGGTTCCCTGACTCAGGTGCCTCCCATTATGTTACTGGAAATTCAATGAACTTACTCCAGAGCTAGCAGCTAAGTGGCTCTGATCAAGTCATCATTGGCAATGGGCAAGGTTTGGCAATTAAAGCAATTGGCTCTTCAAATTTTGTGTCTCCTTATGACTCTAATAAACATTTGCATCTTAAAAATCTTTTGTTGGCTCCTTCCATAATGAAAAACCTCATGAGTGTTAGTCAATTTGCTAGAGACAATTGTGTCTACTTTGAGTTTCATCCAAATGTTTGTTTTGTTAAATCTCAGGAGTCTCATCAGATTCTGCTTCGAGGAGTCCTTGGCAGTGATGGTCTGTATTGCTTCTCAGACATTACGCTTCCTCAGCAATCTGCCCCTTCAGCTTTGTCATCACCTGTTTCAAGTCAAAACACTATCAGTTCTACTGTTTTTCCTCTCTGTAATAGTATACAAAGTAGCAATAATACTGTTGATCAGAATGTTGTTGATCAACCTTGTAATTCTGTTGATTCTTGTATTCCTACTCAGTCTACATATTTTCTCTGGCATTGTCGCTTAGAACATCCCAATCATGCCACAATGACAAATGTACTTCACTCTTGTAATATACCCACTTCAAATAAAAATGTCAAGTGATTTTTGTTCCTCTTGCTGTATTGGTAAGGCACATAGACTTCCTTCATCCACTTCATTAACTGAATATGATAAACCTTTTGAATTAATCTACTGTGATCTTTGGGGACCTGCACCCTTTAAGTCCACCTTGGGATACTCCTATTACATTTCCTTTGTTGATGCCCATACTCGTTACACTTGGATATATCTTTTAAAACAACAATCTGATGCCCTCATTATTTTTAAACAGTTTCATTCCCTGATATCTACACAGTTTCAGCTTCCTATTAAAGCTTTGCAGACAGATTGGGGTGGGGAATTCCGTTCATTTACTGATTACCTCAAACTTCATGGCATTAACCATAGACTTGCTTGTCCTCACACCCATCATCAAAATGGGGTTGTTGAGCGCAAACATCGTCACATTGTTGAGTTGGGACTCACTCTTCTATCTCATGCATCTTTGCCATTAAAATTTTGGGACTATGCAATTCCTCTCAGCTGTGTATCTAATTAATAGACGCCTTACTGCCTCTCTCGATTTTGGTGTCCCTTTCACCAAACTGTTTACACAGAATCCTGACTATCAATTTCTCAAGATTTTTGAGTGTGCTTATTTTCCTTTTTTGAGACCCTATAATAGATACAAACTTGAGTTTCGCTCTCAAGAATGCCTATTCCTTGGCTATTCCACCAGCCACAAAGGTTATGTCTGCTTGAATAAAGAAGGCAGAATTTACATCTCCAAAGATGTTTTATTCAATGAATATCGTTTTCCTTACTCATCCTGGACACCCACTGAGCCTGCCTCTCCACCTATCAGTTCTGTTTCTGCTCATATCCCAATTTTTCCCACCTCTCCTCATGCAAGAGAACTTCCTTTATTCTCTCCACCTCATCCTTCCCAATCTGACACCTCATCTAATCCTCCCTTAGAGTCTATTCCCCATTCGGTGCAGTCCTCTCCTGCCACATCAGTGCAGTATTCTTTTTCTTCTAATCATAATTCAGAATCTTTATCTCCTATTTCCTCCTCCTCTACCACCTCTTCACCTACTTCCTCTTCTGAATATGTGCCATCCAATACAGCTAGGGATATGTCGCCACCTAGATCAATTATTACCAGATCAAAGTCTCGAGCCATGTCTATTGCTTTACTTGCTCACTTTGAACCAACTACTGTGAAACAAGCTTTATCCAGCCCACCTTGGCTGGAAGCCATGAAACTTGAGTACAATGCTTTAATGTCTAACAACACTTGGAACCTGGTTGCTCTGCCCACACACAGAAAGGCTGTTGGATGTAAATGGGTTTTTAAAGTCAAGGAGAATCCGGATGGAACTATTAATAAATACAAGGCAAGGCTTGAGGCAAAGGGTTTTCATCAACAAGGGTTTGATTACAATGAAACCTTCTCTCCTGTGGTAAAACCCGTCACTGTGCAGATAATGCTCACCTTAGCTCTCACTCATTCCTGGCAGACAATTGGATATCAATAATTCTTTTTTAAATGGTGATTTACAAGAAGTTATGTACATGAGTCAGCCTCCAGGTTCTGAAAATACAGACAAGAGTTTGGTTTGCAAGCTTAACAAGGCTCTATATGGTCTAAAACAATCACCAAGGGCCTGGTTTGACAAGCTGAAAAATGCTCTAATGGTGTTGGGGTTTAAATCCAGCTGCTGCGACCCATCCTTATTCATCTCCAAGACTTCATCTCACTGTACATATATTCTGGTGTATGTAGATGATATTATAGTGACTGGAACCAACTCTTCCTATATACAGCAGCTCATCACTCAATTACATTCTCAGTTTGCACTTAAAGACCTTGGCACTCTTGACTATTTTCTTGGTATAGAGGTGAAACCTTATTCTTCGGGTGGCTTAATACTGTCTCAAGCTAAATACATCCGTGAATTACTTACTAGAACTGATATGCATGAAGCAAAAGGAATCTCATCTCCCATGCCTTCCAGCTGCAAGCTGTCCAGATTTGGGTCCAATTACTTTTCTGATCCTCATCTTTACAGATCAGTTGTGGGAGCTCTTCAATATGCAACAATAACTCGCCCTGAAATCAGTTATGCTGTCAACAAGGTTTGCCAATTTATGGGTCAACCTTTGGATGATCACTGGAAGATAGTGAAGAGAATTTTAAGATATCTCAAGGGTGCCATCACCTTTGGCCTTGTTCTTCACCGTGCAGATGTTCAGCACCCATTCTCTCTCACTGCTTTCTGTGACTCGGATTGGGCCAATGACCCTGGTTATAGACGGTCCACATCAAGAGCTGCTGTCTTCTTTGGTCCTAATCTTGTTTCTTGGTGGTCTAAGAAACAGACATTGGTAGCAAGGTCCACCACAGAGGCAGAGTACCGTAGTCTAGCTCTCACTTGTGCTGAATTGCTTTGGATCCAGTCATTCCTTAGGGAATTGCAAGTTCCTTTAGCTACTCCTCATGTGTTCTGTGATAATTTAAGCACTGTCTCTTTATCTCACAACCCTGTTCTACATGCTAGAACAAAACATATGGAGCTGGATATATTTTTTGATAGGGAAAAAGTCCTTGCTGGTGCTCTTACTGTGTCCCACATTCCTGCTTCTGCCCCGATTGCAGATACTCTCACCAAAGCTCTATCTCCTGCCCGTTTTGCAGAATTGAGAACCAAACTCAGCGTTCTTGATTACATGCCTCAAGATCCCTGAGTTTGCGGGGGTGTATTAGATATAGTATCTTACTGTATTGTACCTTTATCCAATGTATCTGCGTGTAGCTGATAAATTCCTTTTAGTCAGTTACAATTCTGTTTTGGCTTACTGTATATATATCAGGATGCCTTGTATCACATACAATAACTATAATATACATTCTCAGATATTCACTTTTCTCTCTCTCTCTCTCTCTCTCTCTCTTCCTCTCTCATCTATGGCTTCTACACAGTATTTGAATAATGTCAAACAGACACCTTTTTGCAGAGAAGAAAATCTTATATAAATTTATGATGTCATTAATACTACAGATGGGCCATGTGTTACCTGCAATGATGCACAAATTAATTTACGAATATTGTTAGCCACAACTCACGACCACATTATTCAAAGTTAAAATGTTCAGCCCTCAACTTTCTCTCCCATTCTAATGCTTAACATGGGTGAAAAAACCAATTAAAGAAAACATAATACCTTGCTTTATTCCAGCTAGCCACCTTATTACGATTAGAAACTCTATAGTGTAGAGGAGCAGCAACAGCTTTTAGTGCAGCCTCATTTGCAAGGGGGAACTGGTTTCCCTGGAAATTTGACCTTCTTTTTGCAAGAACGCCCTGATCACATTATTCAAAAATGATAATATTAGAAATAAGTTCACATAAACAACATTAGTTTAGAAACTTAAAAATGATTAATTTTCATAAACTCACACACTTGTCTAAGAGAAGATCTCGACTCCATATAACGATGCACTTTTGAAGATTTGTCTTTAGGAAGAGTGTTTGAAAACGTTTGGCTCTTGTTCTGTATAGGCATACACAAGAATCAAGTGGAATGATAACTAAGATGAATATTATGATATCACAAGAAGAAGCAAAACAATTCTTCAAAACAAAGTTCTTACCGGAACCCTTCTTTGCTTCACAGCCTTTGTATTTTTAGACATTTTGATTATATCTTCTGTCAGTGCCAATATTAAATATATCAAGAGAGAATATGAGGAAGAAGAGGGGTTTATACAAAAGAATTTCAAGAGCACAATTCACAAAGCACACCTAGTTTCATGTCCATCTTCTTCTCTGTAAGAGCGATAACTTGGGCTGTAATTGGTTTCGCTGCCATCTGAAATAATGCATACACAAGTTAAAGAAAAGTATAGATATTCCAATTACACCCTCAACAACCAACAAAGTGAGCAACCAAAAACCTTAAAAAAAAAAAAAAATCAAGGCCAATTAGGAAGGAAAACGTGATGATTTGGATTCTATGAAAGTTTAACAACAAAAACATATATATTCATTCGGTTTTGAGTTACAAGTAACAGATTGTAACTTCAAAATAACAAGAATCACACAGCACGGCAAGCCCCTAGGGTTCGAAACAGCACATACACATGAATGAAATGAGCAAGCATAAGTATACAAACACATACGTACATACATACATGAACAAAGGAAGAGAAAGATTACTATTGGGAAATAATGGGAATCAACTAGTGCTTGGTAGAGAAGGGTTTTGTTTGATATTGCCAAACTGCAGAGAAAGAATAAGAAATTGAAATATATGTATAAGTGAGTATGTATATACATACGGACCTCCGATATCAAAGGGAATAATAACCTATCCCAATTCTTAGGCTTTAGGCTTTAGGTCGTTCTGGATGGGCTCAGGAAAAAAAGTGTTTTTTTGTATCTTTATTAAAACTATTTATATTTTGAAAAAATATTTAGGAGTGAATTGAATTAGGATTTTAAAAGTTTTTTTTTTAGATAAATTTTTTTATAAATTTTAAAAGATTATTTAAAATTGGAGGAACTTTAAAGATTTTTTTTAAAAAAATATTACAATCAAGATTTAATTGAATTTTAATAGAATTTGTAACATTTGACAGGACAATATGAATTTATAAGATTTTAAAAAATCATATAATTTTTTAACAAATATTTAAAATTACAAGAGTCATTAAAAATAACAAATAAATATAATGATATTAATAAAAAAAAGTAAAACCTAATAAAAAAAATTCAATCAATAAAAGTGTTGGCAGAGATGTCTAGCCAAAGGCTAGTTGGTTAATGTTGGATCTAATGTTTTCTCTAAATATCTATGAATTAAGTATCTTGAGGGCAGCGAATCACGACACATAATATACGGCCTTAGCCAAGAGGGGGTGGATCTGTGTGCTGTGTGATTGCATGAAATAGGGTTGAGAAAGATCAGTCATACATGTGGTCTTTAGTTCCTATTTATAGGGTTAAAAATTATCTTTTTTATTTGATATATTTATTAAAATAATTCTAAATTTGCATATAGAACCTAAAGTTCATGATAAAATTTCATTTGAAATTTTTTGTGATTAATCTTGGAAACCTTGAGATTTTTGTTCTACGTGGTTAGAGTTTTCTAACCATATATTATATGCATATTTTCATTAAGTATTCTACGAAAATTTGAATCTAGATTTCTGAGTTTTATTACATGAAAGTTTATAAAATTTCTCAATTATTTCCAATCGATACATTGAAATCTTAAATTTTTTGAGCTTTTGAAAAACAAGTTTTTAGTTATCTATTGACACAAAAATTATTTGAAATTATTTCCTATAGCGAAGGAAGTTCGTTCATGAATGTATTGTTACGAAATATAAGGTTCATATTATGAAAGTTTCAATCTTCTTTAAAATTGATATTGTTTCAATGATATAAAATGAAGATTGATTTGAGGGTTTTAGTTCCCCCTGTTATTTTTTCATTGTTTTATGTTATTTTTAATACAAAAATCACGCATTTTTGTGCTAAGAAAAACACACTACCCATAAATTGAAAAATCATTTTTTAAACTTCCAAAAGCTCTTAAAAATCGCCCAAAAACTGTTATTTTTTAGATGAATTATATTATAATCTTGTTGGTTTGTTGTTTCTGGGTTTTTTTGTGATGAAAATCGCTCAAAAATATGTTGATTTGAACTTTGACGAAATACCCATGGCGGAACCCAATTTCGAGCGAGTTAATCCGCCAAAAGAAAAGGAAGACACTGCAAACATCTCAAGAAATTCTATGGTGATATTGTGAGAGAGACATCTTATTTATATTTTTTACTAAAAAGTCTCACGAAATTAAATCAATAGAAGATTCATTAAAATCGTCAGATTTTTTAATACCACAAAATTATTTTGTCTTTGTTTAAAATCCTGATTGAATACCAATGAATTTGGATGAACTTTAAATAATCTTTTAAAATCTTAATCGAATATCATGTGACTTTTTTTCAATCCTTTAAAATCCTAATTAACCAACAAAGCCCAGCACAGTTGGTAGATAGCTGGGTTCCTTAAACATGCTGACAGAGGTTCGATTCCTCACCGCGTATAGAAAAGGCTTTGTTGGGAGAGGTTTACCCATTTAATGTGATCTTCCGTCTCGAAAGGATTAGTCTTCGGCTGTCGGCTGGAGGATACGTTGGAAAATCAAAAAAAAAAATCCTAATTAAATATCAATAGATTTTTTGTCCAAAAATAACTCTTTAAAATCTCAATTCAATACATCTCCTTAACTTTTGACTTTTATTTTTTTTTATGTTAAAATTTTTAGCTTAAAAAAAATAAATTTTTAAATTTTTTGTGACTTTTCTTTAAAGCCGGCTCAAAACGAATTTTATTATAAAAGTATTCTTTAAAAAAAAAAAAAAAACAACTTTTGACTACAAAAAATTCGTCCAAACGGACCTTAACCAATTTAAGGCTCTTAACTTAGGGAAAACCAAAAGTCATGTTACAGGAAACTTTGTTTTCTTCCTGCACTCACATCATTCTCCGTGCAATGCTTTTTTATTTAATTTTTTTTCTATTATTTAGTGGGCTCCACAAAAACAGGTCTGAGTGACATGATATACCATATTCCTCTTAGAGGATATTAGCAAAACCCACTAACTTAAGCGCAGTAACAAGTTGGCATAGATATCCTCGTGTCGGCTTTTCCCAATTGGGTCAAAACACAAAATAAAAAGCCCACAGACATTTCTCAAAACTCTTTATTACTTAAAGAATTTTTAAAGAAAAAATATTTCCATGCCATAGAAACAATTGTTTAGATATTAGTTTTTCTAAAAAAAAAAATGATAAGAGACGTTTAAAATCTGTGTTAATATTTAAATTGGCCAATTGAGTTATTATTGATTATAAGTGTTTCAATTATATATTAATATTAGCAAGTAAGCTCTAGTATTTTTAAATTCAAATAAAATATAAATTTATAAATGAGATATACATAATTCCTGTAAAATCTAAAGAGTATAAATTTAAAAATACTTGAAATTACAAAAAAATATACATGATTAATTTAAAAGATTTTAAATTTTAAAAAATAGTAATTAAAATGATACTTCTTTAGAAAAATAAAAGACTAACAAGTTTAACTTTCCTAAAATGATTTACTCTAAGTTAATTAAAATATTACTTTAAAAGAGATAGTATTTTTCCTTTTAAAAAACATAAAATTATGTTATTTTAGTCAGAACTATAATATTTGATGGTGAGAAAAAGAGTTATAAAATAAAAATATAATTGAAGAAAGTATGAGATTTTTTTAATTTAAATGTTAAATAAAAACATTTATTTTAATTAAAATGACTGTCTTTTAAAAGAACAAATATTTTTTCATTAAAAAAAGATTAAATCTACATGTAAAATCATAATATTAAGTGTGTTAATTTAATTTTTTAAGCTAGTGTGGCTCTTAAATAAGATTCACTATACTAACCACTCTATCTATCTAATCACGCCAAGCCAACATTGTAGTAATTTGTTTGAGTAACTCCCGTACATTTTTTAGCCATTTTCATTGAATATCTCCCAAAACAAACTGGTTCTTATTTTTTACTGAATAAAGTTGCAAATAACTTACCAAAAAAATAAAGCTGCAGATATTATTTTATATGTGCATCAAAAATTAATAATTATTAAACAAGTAGAGTCTCATCAAGCGCTATATTTTAGTTTTTGGTTATAAGTATTCAGTTGTACCAAGACCATAATTGCATAGTATTTGCAAATGTATTAAATCATGAAGAAGAAAAAAAAAACAAAGACTATTTTTTTTACCAATTAATAGCTAATGGTAAAGGTGGTCCTCTAAGTTTTATTTAAAGATGATCCTATTATATGAAAGACCTCATCATTCATTTATAGATAATGGTGAAAATTTTAATGAAATTCATAACATGAGAAACTAAAAAATGTCATCAAGATATGAAAGGATTTATTTTCATTCGATATTCCTAACAAACTCAAATATTTTGTATTTAATTTCTTAGATTTTTTCAATTAAATATTGCTATTATATAAATTTTATGTTTAATTTGGAAAAAATGTGTGTCAGATGTAACACCTCGTGTGCGCCCGATATATGAACTTAATTATGGTATTAAGTGCATTTAGAATTAAGAAATTATTAAGAAAATTCCTTTTAATTGTCACTTATTCTTGTTACTTGGCTATTTAACTACCTATAAAAGTAAGAGATAAGACATTAAATTAACTCATTCATACTCTATATGGTTCACATATACACTTATTCGGTTCACTTTTCTATAGATTAAAGCTCTGATATCAATTCTAAGATTTTATAATGATAAACTATATCTCCCAAGCTTTTCAACGAGATAAAACATTAACCATTTGATTAAGATTAATTGGAGTTACGCAACTCACGAGGTGACTACTTCAAACCAAACTTTCGAGATTAAGGTAGCAGGTTTAAAATAGAACCAAGATTTATCCACTTGTCTATAGGTCCTAAGATTTTATAGGGTTATAGATCTTTCAGTTAGCTTTACATAGATTCAAGTCTCACTTAATTTGGAGCTCTCTAGCTCAAGATATACATATTCTACTATGCTACCAAAACAGTGAAATCGACTGTGTGTTCGGCGCTAACATAGCGCTGGAGGCGCCAACTTGGCGCTATAGGCGCCAACCTCAAAGGTCGCCTTTGTACCTTCATGTTGGAGGTGCCAGACTATAGGAAACCTTCATTTTGAAGGTCTTAGACCCCTTTTTCAAGAGTATAACTTCAATCTTACACCTAATAAATCATGATAATCAACTATAACTAACAATTCCTTATATATGATAGTCAATATATCATTACAATACTTGGCTTCAAACCATCAAATTGTTTACAAATATTGATCTTGACATAAGCATAATCAAAATGTTATGACTTTACTACATTTGACTTCACATTCATATATATACCATTGAGACCACATATACAACTCATTACTTATGATAGCCAGTTACACATTTCCAAAAGAATTGTCCTAGCATGCTACTAACATCAAAACAAGCCAAGCCAAAAAGGGAAACCTTCATGCATTACACGAGTTTCTTTTCTTGAGAAGTCTCAGCTCCTTCACCTGATGTATTTGAAACATAATTCTCAAACGGGATGAGATAACAATCTCAGTAAATTTTTGGTCCTTGGAGGATTACTCCACCCTTGAGTTCACTTTCCTGCAAGAAAGGTCAGAGCATATGGCATAGTCTAATCATATAAACCAACAACAATAGTGAATTAACTACACTCGTGCACCCAGTGTACTAGGGCCACTCCAATGAGTTGTACCTTAAAGTTAGTGTCTATATGGAACTTCCAAGAGACATGCCTCTTAGGATAAATCTCCAAGGGAAGTCCATATATATTATATTAATCAAAGAACCTATTCCATCAATTTACAATATAATGGCTAACATATTAAAACACCTCATATTAAGTAACCAATTGCATACCAAGTCTACATGAATGCAACTATGTCATAGCTCTAACAACCAGCCACACAATCAAGCAATTAACCAACACTCCCAATGAGTGTGGTGGAACACCAAGTGAGACTATCCTAATGTCCAAGAAATTACCTCTTTAAGTTAGGCTATCTAATGTCTCTTTCTTTGTTCCAATATCCAAATAACACCAACTCACCAATAATCACTTATTATGAATAGTCAATCAAATCAACAACGTATTCACATATTAATTCATCTAACCCATTACTCAAATACCAATATACCAAGGTGAGACACTTACCCCAGGCTTCTCCAAGGTTCAAGAACCAAGCCATCACTCAAAGAAGGCTCCAATGGTGATTCCAGCCTAATATCACCATTGGAATCAATACTCCTACATCAAATATACACAACACCCATCAATTTCATCATACTACATTCTAATAAAAAATTTCCAATTCACATGGAACCCTAAATCATAGCTTTCAAGGAATCTCAAGGGAAACCAATGAGAGTTTATGGCTTCTTACCTCCAACCCTTAAACACAAGAGAATGAAGTCTCAAAGCTTCAATGGAGAATCAAATCTCCTATCTTTTGTTGCTGCAAAATAACGCACTAAATAGGGGAAGAGCATATGGGTTTTTCATGGTAATGGGTGAGGGAGATAAAGATATGGTAGGTGTTCTTTGTAACCCCCCTCCTCTTGGTCACTAAGGAAAAAGAGAGTTAATGGAGTTTTTTGTTGTCTCACTTTCTCCTTCTCTCTAAGCCAATGATGAAGGAGGAAGAAGAACAAGAAGACTTGAGTTGTGCTTTTTCTTTTGAGGGAATCGCGTAGATGGAAGAGAATAAGAGGGAATGGAAGTAGAGGTGATAAACGAACCAGGGGCCTTTGGCTCGACTCGTGAAGACCTGAGCTTACATGTCTAAAATTGGTTGTTGAACCAGGCTTGAACTTGTATAAAAGCTCGTTTAATAAAAAGGTCTCAGGCTCCAATTCAAAAGTTTGGCCTTAGAGCCTCTCAGGCTGGCCTAATATATTTATTTTTATTTTATATTTTTTATACTACTTGTAATAGCTCTCTCTCTCCTCAATCCATTTCATCCCATTTTATTGGTTAAACAGACTTTTTGAATGATTTTGTTCTATATTATGTTGTTTGGATATACATTAAATTTATGAATATTTATGAAATTACTAGTGTTGTTGATTGTATATTCTGTTTGGATAAATTTTTGTTGTCTTATTATTTTTAAACAGGCTAAACTGGATTTTTATTTTTTGTAAATAAACCATATCACAGGTCAATAATTATATTCATAACAGTTAACAGACTTGGTTAGACTGACATATTTAAACACAGGCTTAGCCTTTTAAGACCAAAGTTCGGCTCGGTTTGGTCCGTTAACACCCCTAAATGGAAGGATGAAAGAGAGTGATGAGAGAGGGTGTGGTCCCCACCTTGACTCACAAATATCTAAAGGGATAAAAAGACCTATTTACCCTTATTTATTCTCCACAATTACACTCATTCATTTGACTAAGGTTTTTAAATTAATGGAGTTTAAGTAGGGTGAGATACACACTTAATTAAATTTTGGATCTTATCAATTTTGCCTAATTGCACATTTACCTCAAAACTCTTAACATTGCAGTTTTATTCCGAAAGTCACTTAACTAAAAACTTTTCATCTAATTAATTATTTAATTTTACATTAATACCTAACTAATATAATTAATCATCTGGGTTATATAAAAGAGAAAGAGAAAGTATTTTGGATAAAAGAGAAGGTAAAAAAATAATCAATATGAACCAAAACATTTTTGTTTCACTTAAAATGAAAGAAAATTGTGTCCTTTACAATAATAAAATATTTTCCTATTTAATTTTAATATTACACTCTTTAAGTTGATAATATATATTTTTGGTTTGATGAGAACTGAGAAAAGAAGAGATTCAAATCCCTCTCTTTAACTTTGTTGAAACCTACCCATAAAATAAGAAATGTTTTTCCAACATCATTTTTGTTTCGATAAATTACTTTAATATTATTTTTACTGCATATGACTATGATGCACAGACACTGACACGAGACATGACACGACACGCCGAAACATTAATTCTAAAAAATGTCATATTTCGACACGTTGGGACATGTTTTGATATTAAATAATATTTTCAATATATATAATATAATTTATATTTAATACATATAACAGCCTATAATAAGTCATATAACCAATCAAATATTCAAATTTCATAACATAAATATAACAAAAATAATTTTTCGTATCTTGTTAATTTTTCATGTAAATTTCATAACAGAAAAAATTTGATTTATAAATTATTTTTTTTATTTTTAGTTAATAAAATAAAATTAAGAAGTAAAAAAAAAAAAGTGTGTCAGATGCATGTCGGAGCATTGACCGCGTGTCGAAAAAAATTAACGGAACATTGACCGCGTGTCGAAAAAAGTTAACTGAGTGTTTGAAAAACATGTCGAATAATTGACCGCATGTCCCAAAATATTAACTGCGTGTCAAAACGTGTCAATATCCGACACGTGTCCAACACGGCACAATTTAAAAAAGAAGAAGAACGAATCCGTGCTTTAGAGGCATATGAAAGGTCAATTGAGATACGGAAAAAGTTCAAGAAAATACAAAACTTCCTTAGTCTCGTTTTTTGAAGAGCTACTTAAGGAGTAGAAAAAAAAATTTCTCTACATCGAACGTCAGATTGGCTAGGTGGTGTTAATTGTGAGAAGAAAACTTAAATGTACTATTTGAATAGTTAATTAAGGAGAATAAGAATTTCTTCCTGTAAGAAAAGGAAAAACTATAAAGAAATTATTTCACTTCTAAAAATAAAGACTCGAAATTAATAATTGTTAAGAAATAATAACTAAATAAAGTTGAAAAATAACTTTACATCTACTTTTTATGCGTCGGAATGAAAATAAGTCGTGTTCGCAATGTCTGGATCTTTTCTTTTTTTAAGTTAGAAGTTACAAGAAATTAAGTCAAACAGATTTTGAAAAAAACTCTTATAATGAAAATCTCTTCTTTTATAATGAAGGAAAAAATGAAACACTAAAAGTTCTTAAGAGAAACTTTTTTTTATAGAGCTTTTCTTGAAATATGTGCTTTTAAGCTAAAAAATTTATGTAATTATCAAAAAGCTTTTAACTTTCTTTTAAGGCTTTTTTTTAGCTTTAATTTATAAATAACTTCTAGGTTAAAAAAGAGGGGATAAAAGAAGCTCTATGGATGTAAGTTTGACTTATTGGTAACATCTATCAAATGATATAATGCAATTCTTATTACAGTTAAAAACATTAGTGCTAACGTGCTATTCTCAAACCCACTTATTTTTGGCTTGTAGAGTTCAGTATTGCCGTTTACATCTCAGCTCAACAAATAATTTATTCCAAAAACTCACTCTATTATGGCAGATTGAGCTTATAGAAGGGGAAAGAATCAGTTGGCACCATAAATCCACTTCTCTGCATTGCTAGTGAAACTAACCAACTCCTCTGGCTTAAACCACAAGTTTATCTCATCCTTGGCAGTCTCTGGACCATCACTCCCATGTATGATGTTTCTGCAGACACAAGCAGTAATCAGGTTTACCAAATAATGGAAAATGCATACATAAAAGAGAAACTAGCATGTTTCTTTGCAAAACAGTACCTTCCAACAACTACAGCCAGATCACCCCTAATGGTTCCAGGTTCTGATTTCTGTGGATCTGTGGCTCCAATAAGTTTTCGGCCGTAGGAAATAACTCCCTGTCCTTCCCACACCTATGACATCAATTTTTGGGAAACAGAAAAGACAGATTAGGAACACTGGTTTGTTTGATTCTTAAAGCAAGAGATGAGAGTCATTTCTAACCATTGCAATAACAGGGCCAGAGCTTAGGAATTCACACAATCCATTGAAGAATGGTCTTTCCTTCAGGTCATGATAATGCTTTTCGGCAAATTCCTTTGAAGGAATCAATACTTTAATTCCCACAAGCTTGTACCCTTTCCGCTCAAAACGAGAGATAATCTCTGAAATCTGAAAAGGAAACAACTCAGAATCTAAATTTTTCTTTTTTGTGAGCAGAACCTACACTTACTAATTGGGGGGATTACAATTTACAACATGAAAATCTCAGAGAGGAAAGAAGTGGGAACCATATTGCCCCAAATGCATACAAAGTTGCATCTACACATTGTTTCACAAACAAATCATAAACAAGAGCAAGAAATGTAGTTTCACTTTACCAGTCCTCTCTGCACTCCGTCAGGTTTAATGGCAATGAAAGTGCGCTCCAGCTGAGTAGGAAAAGGTGAACACATGATTCACACATTATAATCATATCAAGAAAGAAAGAAAAAAAGCAAGCAAGGATAAAAGTGAAAAAAGGAACGCAGATGCAGTTAGAGAGATGTTATGCGTACCTCAGCAGCATGCACCTCCTGATCTTGGAACATGTAAGCTACAAGACATAGCAGAAGAAAAAACCGGATAAATAAAATAAAGTTAGCAGTTGAATATCTGATTAAAGGATGCACAACCAAAAAGAGAGAGGATGCACACAGTAATATTGAGCGACATTGAGAACCCACCGACAAATTCATAGCATAAAGCAAACCATTGATTACATCGGGTTCGAGCACTTGTTGAATCCTATTAAAGGAGACAGCTCTCTCAAATCTTTTTTTCCATTGCCAGGGCTCAAACTCGAGACCTCTGGTTAAGGGGTCCAGACTCCTTACCACCTATGTCAAGGGTGTTTGGTAAACCGTTGAGACTTTGTTCAAACTTTAAGGTTATTAAGAGGCTTGATTACTTAAGAGGCTTGATTGAAGTTTTGAAATGGGTTTACAATGTAGGGGATATTAAGGGAAGTAATAAAGTCTATAGTACATCCAAAACCTTAATTTTATCCCCCAGACACTGCTCCTGCAAAATGTAGGGAATATTAAGGGAAGCTATGATGCTAAAGTTAAGCAAGGTACAAGGCTCCTCTTCCTTTTCCAACAAACACACATTATCTATTAACACCCGAATCAGTATCTTCTTTTACATAGAGAAATACATGACCATACATAGTAGTTCGCAAATTGGTATGCACGATAAGAGATGGCAATTCATAGCAAATATAATATGTATTGATTTGGATTCATGAACCAAAACAGTAGCCAAAAAGTGAAAACAGAAAGTGGAAATATATCGAGAGTTATTATTGATCAAACCTGCAGCAGGAAGAGCGAGAGCTCCCGAAATCCATGTTGCGGATCCACTTCCAGAACCGGCCCTCCCATAATTTGAAGCAAAAAAAGGCACTTTTCTGCTTAATGAAACAGCTGCAGCAGACGCGACCGAGCGTACTTCTGTAAACATGATGATTTATAAACTCAGTCGTGTCATGAAAACAAAAAAATAAATCTAATTTTTAGCACATTTACAATACAAGAAGGCAGAAACATAAGAAAATATAGACATATCCAAAGCCCACAAATAAATAAGTGATAAAAATAACAACTTTTCAAGCTTGAAGCCGAAACAAATCAGATGGGTACCCAAAAAGCAAAAATATTCGTCAAGATTAAACTCAACCACCAAGACATTCATATTATAGATCATCTCAAAGTTTTAAATCAAATTTAAATAACACACACAAAAAAACAAAGAAGGGTACAAGTCATATTTGGAAAACACCGATTGATGAAAGGATCCAGAATGAAAATGAGAAGAGAGAATAAGATAGGAGGTAGAGTTAGTTACCAGAGTGAAAATGAGAGCCCTTGGAAGCAGAGAGAAGGGACCTCGCGGCTCTGGAAGCTGATTTGCGAACCTGTGAGGCCATCTTCTTCGGATACAGTACAGGTAGATTGCTTACTGCCACTACAGAACAGAAACACGCGACAGAGAAGGATCAAGGATGTGTGTGCGTTAGACGTCAGTGACTGTGTTGTGTCTTGTTGATTGGTCGGTCCTTTGCGTTTCGGGGCTTATTCTTTTTCGAATTTTGCAATTTCATCCTTTGTTTTACGTTAATTTTCGTTTTTGGTATTTGGAAATGCGTGATCTGTCTCTGTGTGCGTGCATTACTGCATTGGTCAAACCTTACCTATACTGTAGGTGTCCACGTGATAAGGAATCAAGTCTCAATTGATGGTCTCTTTGATTAGTTCATTATATATGCTCACTAAAATAGGCGTTGAGATTTCAGGTTTCAGATTAGTTGGCAAAAAAAAAAAATCAAAATTAACAGTAAATTTTGTCAAACTGTCACGTGGTATATTTCACTACACTGTGTGACGAAATATGTGTGCAAATAATTCGCTACACGGTGTAGCGAAATATGCCACATCAAAACCAAAAATGTCACGTGTCAAACAGGGAGAATTTCGCTACACAGTGTAGCGAAATTCTCCCTGTTTGACACGTGGCATTTTTGGTTCTGTGCATTCTGACGCAGCTATTTTGCTACACCGTGTAGCGAATTATTTGCACACATATTTCGCTACACAGTGTAACAAAATATGTCACATGACATTTTGACAAAATTTACTATTGACGTGACATTTTGATATATTTTTTTTTCAACGGTGTCACTTTGACCACTGTTCCTCATATTAGACCCTATTTGGTATTTGCTTCCTCTTCTGAAAAAAAATAAAAAATTGAATTCAATATTAAAATATACAATTTTTATACTTTTATTTTTCATAAAAAGGGTACTCATACTAGTGCAAGGTCTACTTACCTTTACAAATGAAAAGGTAACTCCGCTTTTAATCTATGTCAACTGTCAAGTCACCAAAGTTCCTAGTCAATTACTGAATTATATAACATATAGTCAGGGATTTTCACCGTTAGGCTTAGGCTATCTCCACTATGATCCTAGTTTTAGTAATAAGCCTCTTGGAGAGACACTAATTAAAAAGAAAAAAAAAAAGACACAAGTTTGGCACTTTATCAAATATCCAAATTGAGTTATAAACAAATGATTGTTATGGATTTATAGCTTTTCAAAAAACAAAAAAACAAATGATTGTTATGGTTAAAGGGTGAGAGGAAGAGATAAAGGCAGGGAACTCTCTTTATAGATTCTTTTGTCCTGGAAAGCGATTATGAAACTTCTCCTCTTTTCAATACTTTAGTGGCAATGCTTGATTTGGACAAAAGGAACCAATCACATTTCCTCTTTTGATGGAAATATGTTCTCCAATTGGAGTAAATCTCAAGTAATTTTGTAGTGCATACTCTTTTACTGAAATTAAAAATAAATAGGATTTCATGTAGAATTAACTATAAAAGAGTGAGTAAAATAAGTGTGTAAACGAATCACTTTTTAAATTTGATTAGGTAATGTACTGACAGTACTCTAGAATTACTCCAGAATTACTGAATACATTTTACTCCAATTGATGGAGGAGGAGTTGGGAGAAGGGAAAAAGAATCTTAGAAAAAAGACACGTTTATGGGAAATACACGTTTCTTTGGGGAGCCTCTACAAGTTTGCTAATCAATGATTGTTCACATGTTAGCCATTAATGATCCCACGAAAAGAGAAGGCAGGGACACTTTCGCTTGTGGACTTCACATGATTAATTACATGATTAGAACGAGCCAACCGAGTTCTCAACTATAGACGTAAAGGATCTATTATTGAGCTTGTGCCGTACGAAATAACTACTTGCCTTTTTAACTGTCTAGGATCTTGCTCCCTAAACAGACTTAAAAGAGGAGAGAACAGGTTCGGATGTGAAAAGTGAAATAAATTGTATTTGATTAATTGTTTCGAATGGGGAGGTTACAATAAAAAAATAATAAAATGGAAAAAGAAACTAGTTAATTATATGGACCGACTCTAATCAATCCAAACAATCCTAATTGATTCGTAAGAATAAAATCCTGATATATATTCCCTAAAATTCATAATATTTGAAAACATTCCATAGAAACACGAGAGAGAAATATCTGTGAGTAAAAACTGAGAAGTGGCACTCCCATGAGATTTGACTTTCACTTTTTGCATCCAAGCTTTTCTTATTTTTAAAATTTTTGTAATGGAAGAATTTGAGATAATGACCAACTTAGACAATTATTCAGCATAAGGATAAAATAGCTACTTGATGTGATTATTAAAGTGAACTTCTGAGTCAAATGACTTGGACCTTGTATGCAAATGTCTTGGAGAAAAAAATGGTATTCATATCAAATCTTCCTAAACTATTACTTTCCCTTTGGTTACTGGTTTAGATGACGAGGATTTGCAATTTCTACCTTTGGCTATGGCTGCGACCAAGGTGCTAGGAGATTGCAAATTACAACAGATAAGGTCTAAAAACCTCCAAATGTTGGCAAAATACAGATCTCCTATCTGCCCTCCTTTTTAGACAGCACGAGTTCTTTCTTGATTGGCCTGTCTTTTTAAGGATATTCAAGGTCTCTTCTAGTTCTCAGCCACCAACCACGCTCATTACATTAAAGTTATATCCCTGCAATACAAATTCTTTTGCTTATCAGCATCTCCCCAGGAAGATAATTGAAGTTGGCCAATAACAACTTATAATGTTAACCATGAACCAAAAAGATCAAAGTAGTATAACCACCAACCTTCCTGCAGAGTTTTTATTATTTTATTTTACAAAGTACTACATTACTCAAACAATGTATCTTACCAGCAAATAGCATGTTCATGATTCATATAGACAAGGTCAAAGATTCAAAATACTCATTGTTCAGGTATAAGCACTCAATTTTTACGCTTCATACTTACATATCCCAACTCTAATTTATATACATGCGTAAAGGTCACTGAAATTGCAAGGCTAAAAACTTAATAGATCGCTCTAGTCCTGGAATGAGCCAAACGTGACAAATAAATCATTAGTCTTTATTCAATTACTGCAAACATTTGAAGGCATTCGTGTCGTATTTACAAACTAGCTTAGATTTCAAGCCACTCAAACTCACCAAACAAGGTGTAATTATGTTACATCTCAATTGAACCATTGGGAACCGATGTATCAGATTCTGATTTGCAGTCATTTTGTAAAACTGATAACCAAGAGTCCACCTGAAAGAAGAATAATGGGAGAAACTACATCATTTGGCGTGATGAACATATATAATGGAATATAGACTATATTTAGAAGTTGATCAAAATTAAAATAAGGATGTAAATTACTCAATCTGTTCAGACTGTTAAACTGAAATATAATAATAATAACTACTACTAAGAATCAAATTATCTCAAATTGGACACACCTGTATCTTAGAATTGCTTGAGCATTCATAGCGTAATCCATGACAAGTTAAAATATAAAAGGCATATTGAATATCATCGTCTTCACGCTTAAAACATGGCAATCTCCCTACTTCAACAATTTCAGATAGAAGGGTCGAGTCCTGAGGACTTAGATCTGCAATTTTTCCCCTTTATCAGCAAACAAGCATTGATGCCTTGTAAATGAAAGCCAATCATAGAACAATTATATTTGATTGAGCTAACCATGTACAATTTCTTTTTTTCAAAGATATTAATACAAATCAAACTTAGGCCCTTTTTTCCAAATAAACATTTGGGAGAGTTAATTCTTAGCATAATATAAGCGCCTCTTCGACCAAGCTATCAAGAGTACATTCCTTGCTGCTCCTACTCTTCTAACTAAATTTGGTTGGGCCTGTGGTTTCAGCCTTTGACATAAAAGGCAACGTTAAAGATGTTGATAAAAAGAGTTCTTGTGTCTTCTTCTAACAACTTAAACTTTGGATAGTATTGATTCTTGGCAGTTTGGACTTCAAACAAACACCATATTAGGCATCTTTGACATGGGATGAAATTTCAGTATGAGGTATTGATTTGCAAGAAAGAAAGACCATCACAAACTTAAAACAAGAATTAGAAAATGAACTAGCCAAAATGTTTCATAATTGCCAGGAATATCTTAAACTAATTATGAAAAAGGAATTGCACAAATCTAGTGAGCAAGAAAGAAAGCCCATCACAAACTTAAAGCAAGAATTGGAAAATGAACTAGCCAAAATGTTTCATAATTGCCAGGAATATATTAAAATAATTATGAAAAAGGAATTGCACAAATCTATTGAGCAAGAGGTTTCCAATAATTTCATATCTCATTCACCCACATTGGAATAAGCACAAATACAAACTATCAACAGATAAAAGTAAAATGGTCAGCCCAGTAAGTCTTGATGTTCTAATTATTACTATCATGCATTTAACTGCAAAATTAAAATTATGGTCATCTTAGGTTAGATGGAATGATTTTGAACGAATAGGAGTGGCAATGGAAAGGAATATTCATTCTAATGTTTTGTTCGGCATGAATTCCAATGAAAAGGTGACTTCATTCCACTTTTATGTTTGGTATATTGATTAAAAATTTACAAAAAAAAAAAAAAAAAAAAAATATAAATAAAAAAAAAAAATTAAATTAAATAAAAATTTATGATTTTTTCAGTTAAATTGGCTTGGGTTGGCCTGATTTGAGCTAAACAAATTTTTGGGTTGATCCTGCCCAAATCGGCCTGTGCTATTTTTTTGGGCCTAAAACACAATTTGGCCCAAAAATATTTTAGAGCTGAAGAAGTGGGCCAGATAGATTGGGCCTTTTTTACACCTATCTTTTGGTAAAATGGAATGGGCATGGAATGCAGATTCCTACATTTGCAGGAGTACTTATTCCCTTGGGATTGTTTATGGGTTTTATTTTTCTCATGTTGCATGAGACAAATTGTCTCATGCAACACACAAAGAAAATGGGTGGGACCCACTAGAAAAAAGAGAAAAAAAATAAAAAAGTGAGTCTCACTCACTTTTTGTGTGTTGCATGAGATAATTTATCTCATGCAACATGAGAAAAATAAAACTCATGGTTTATTTATGAGAAAGTCTCGAGAGATAGAGATACTCCAAGATACTTTTCTAAATATTCTAACACCCTCTACCAAAGCTAAAGCTTACTCAACTAAAAATATAATCCAATAGCAAGAGACATGGGTAGATTGCATAGCCTGGAGACGGAGACTGAGGGAAATTGTAAGTGTATTTACAAAAACAAGGATACATAATTTATTGTCCTAGAACTGTATAGTATTAATCACAAAAAAATAGGGAAATGAGGAAAATACAATCAATTAAAATAATACTAATTGTGGTAACTATGCGAACAATATATAATTACACTAAATATGGTAATTATGCTAACAATTTCCATTCCATTGACCTAACCAAATTTGACCCATTCCCATTCTCCCTCTATTCCATTCGCTCCAACCAAACATGCACTAAGTAATTCATTAGTAAACAAATATGAAAAAAATATGTCAATTCACAAAGAGTTATACAGACAAACAGTTGCAGTGCTGCATGTTTAGCAAAACTTTCATGTCACTTATATCGAGTACAATAACAAATAGAATGAAGAACAGAAAATTTCCCTATTCTGCATCTGGTCATTGAATTTTCTTACATGCATTCTAGCACTAGCATTACAAGGGTTTTATGCAAAACACATAAGCAAAGAGGACACAACTTGACATGTCAATATATATTCAAAGAATAGAGATGTGTGAAAGAAGAATATAAAACAAAGAACATAGATTTACCGCTCTAGATTTGAATACATTACTATTAAAATGACGTAGTTATGAAAAAAATGAAAACTAAGACATGTAGGAAAAGAAGAAGAAATAGGGGAAGAGATAAGGAACACAACTAAATGCATAACCTGTACACAACAAATATAAGAATATACATGCTCCATGGAGAACGACAAAGCGAGGAAGCCAATCATCTACTTCAGCATCATCTATAGGTGGAGGTTCTCCCGGTAGTGCTGCCCATCTCTATAGAGAAAGATAAAAAGAAAATTAGTTCTCCACTTGTTACAAAAAATAAAATAATGAAGCACAAACTAATGAACATAAACTAATGTAGGAATGGACAGTCAGTACAGTTCGAATGTATAAATAGCCAGATAGACGAGCTGACCGCAAAACTTCATCAATATGTTCCAACCTGTGGGACAAAATTATTTTAATAAAATAATTATTTAAGGAAAACACATCAGTGTCTATTGAGGCATATAAGAATTCCCAGCAGAAAGGGGAGGGTTGGGTAGATATTAAACAGTAAATTTCCCTGGTTTCTCGATGTAGCAATTTCAACTCCAAAGAAGACTAAAGAGTAGCTGCCTCTAACACACCAAGAAGAATCACTAGTGAGGAATGAGAAGGAGAACAATGAAAGGAAAAAGGAAATTTAACCTCATTTTACTCTTACTACTCAATCAGTCACAAATGTCTAGACTCCAAATCTAAAGCTAGCATATATACTCCTAACTTTGCTTCTTTTATCAATGACTTCGGTAAAATAAGAAATAAACAAGCACAAGAAGGTAACCTTAAGGAAACTGCTAATTAATGAACAAAAATACATTATGACAGCAAAGCCAAAAATAGTCCAAGGTTGCGGATCACTCACTGAGCTTTCAAGTGAGATTCTCTCTCTTCTATATCAGCAAGCTCTGATCGAAGGGACTCTATTTCTGCAGCCGTTAGCTCAACCTACAGAGTATAAATTTGTGTTGGTAGGATATAAGAGAACATTCACCAATGACACAAGATGCACAGAACAAATGCTGCTCAAATCAAACCTTTTCCTGACCTCCAGTACTTGAACCCCATGGCAGCCCCGGTAGAGTAAACAACTTCATCATGAAAGCTGTCCTTAATTTTCTTCGAGTCCCCAGATGGCACGAGGACGACCTAAACTAAGTTAGATGAGTAACTTATTTCAAATAAAATTATAGCCTTTTAATAACTTTCTCAATATTGTTTTCTTCTATTCCTTTTTTAACCAGGAAACAATACCTTGAGGTTTGATCGGTTCCAGGTTCTGTAATGGACGATGTTCTGCTCTCAGGAGATTCTATACTTGAAGTTGGAGCTTGAAAGTGGTTAGGGATGATCTTTAATTTAGGAGGACCATCATCCATGAAATTGACCTTCTTCAAGAAGGAAGGGCAAGCCTATATTTGAGGATGACAGTAATGATAACTGTGAAGGATGATTCTCCTGAAACAGTAACAAAACCTAGTAGTTAGAACAGCAGCACTGGCATCACTTCCCTTTGACTAAGCCATAAGTTGCTAACCAGTTTTGCTCAATCTGCAGCCAAAGGTCATGTCAGCAAACCATAGGCACATGACATGTGGCAGCCAGTCCTTAAATGTACAAAGAAGGATGGTTCACCAACATATATATAAAGGACTACATTCTTTTCAAATTAAATGAAAAACAATCTGTCATAACATCCATTCCTTCTCCTCCAAGGATTCTGGACTAACACAAGCTAACAAGAAAAGCAAATTGTTAGACCAGCCAAAACCAGCAGTCCCCAAAAATCTTGCTGTTAAGCTACTACAATTGAAGGCAAAAACCTGTTCCATTGAGTTAACAGCAGTGTGATGTGGAATATAAAATCCATGCATTCAGAAAGATAAAAAAGAAACATGCTGACTGCTGATCACTTGGGACCAAAAACACAAAATTGTGTAGTTCAAGAGATGATATCAGACAGACTGATCACTTTATCGGTTTGTCAGCAGTCAAAATAAAACCTACATAACATTACTCTTTTTCTATTCTTCTTGTTTCCTCTCAAGGTAAAAGAATCAGCTCTTTTATGAAGATCAAATTATAAAGCATATTGAGACAACATCTTAATTTTATTATCTCACCGGTACTTGATTAGATATTACTCCAAAGAAAGCAACATATCGAAAACTTAATTATTATTTTTCCTTAAAAGAAAAAACCGATAACATCAAAAGCTCAGATGCTCAGCTAAATAGTGTGAAGAAAAGACAATACCTACTCTAATGCTCCACGTGATCAACCAAAGTCCTCAACCGCATTCACCAACTTAAACAATGGAACTCAGCGAGAAATAGTTTGCTAATCAACTACAAGATAAACAGACAGAAATATCTGGGGGGAAATTAATAATAATAATAATGAAAAAACCCAAACCAGGATGGGAAAAAAAGGAGAGGCAATAAACAGTGAAAATAGAAAGCAATTCAGGATCACAGCTATTAAACTAGATCAACCATATTTGCTAATTAACAAACCCCAATTCTCCAGACTGAGCAAGGATCATAAGATAAACACATAATTTAGCAGGGAAAGGAAAAAGCATGGAAAGCTATAAACATATCAATAAAAAATAAGGGTCGATTAAATTGAACATGTCATACGACAGGTACAGCTTGCAAGTAAAAAGTGCCAACCAAGAATTGTTGGAAGAGAACATATAATAACTGAAATTTAAGAATAGAGAAAGTTGCATACCCGTGGCGTGGGGTGGGGTGGGAGAAGATAGCTTATGCTCACTTTCCTTTCCTTTCCTTTGCACAATTACAAAGTGTGACCCAAAGCCAGAGACGCGGGTGTTTCATGTAGCAGTTCAGTTTGTTGTAGCGTCTCGCGGAAAGACACTTTTAACCATCGTATTCCTCACACCCCGCCCGCAATTTTAACACAACTACAACTATGCACGTGGTTTACATTTTGGACTAGATTGTCTTCTTCTTTTCTAAAAGTAAAAGCTAAAAGTTGAAGCTTAAAAATAAAAACAGTTTATGCCAAGTTTAAATATGTTAATATATTAACAATTACAATAAAAATTATTTCTTAACTAAACAAAAATTCTAAACTGGTTTTTAGCTAAAATAATCAGAATGAGTACCTTTGATAAGGCCTTATTTGTTTTAAGAGTCATTTTATTCCCATGTTTTTGTTTTCTTATATTCTTTCTTACGTTATTAATGAAAAATATAATCATCATGTTACATGATATAAGTTACATCATATTGTAGAGACGAAATTGATGGAGTCCATTATTTTATTTGTTTTTTATTTTTTATTTAAATAGTAAACCCACCAACTTTGTCTCTACAGCATGATGTAACTTGCTTCATGTAACATGACCAAATACAATCCCTTATTAAATTAAAGAAAGAAAAAATTATTTCTTCTGCAACTATAGAATAAATTATTTCCAATAATCTCAAAACAAAATTTTTATTTTAATAATTTTATTTTTCTTTTGTATCATATATTTTACTAAAATACTTTGTATTTTTTTTTTTCAAAACACCAAAATGATATCATTTTGAAATTATAGAAAATAACTTAATCTCCTTTTACGTGAAAAACATTAATCCCTCAAAAATATTAGTTATTTTTCATATATCATGATTATATATTAATATCCATTAAGAATACATTTCACTGTCTATTATACAAATTCCTAGTAAGCAAGATACCAGCGGTATTTGTGTAATTTAAAGAAAGGTTTTATAAGAGTTATGTTATAAGAAAAGTGATTATGTAATGTTATAGAGTAATGTTATAGAGATTCATCTTGCGTACCGTAATTTTTTTTTTTTTTTCTTTAAAAAGTGTGAGCTCCACAAAATATTATGTGTGTAAAAAAATTTGTTATGTCATGTTAAATGACAAATGCAAATCCCTTTCATAAATTTAAAGTTTCGCGTTATTATAACAAACAAAAACTCTCGTATGTTCCAAGCATCCATGAGACCACCTTGTATTTAACTTAACAGGGAGCGTTTATGAATCTAAATTGCCAATGCGTATATAAGCGATGGTGTCTAAAAATCATAGATTTTTATTTGGTTTTTGATCGGAATTTCCGAACCCTTATTGATTTCTGAAAGCATATATTAATATAAGTACATCACTTTTAAAGAGATTAGTATTAGAGGAATTCACTCTGATAAGACATAAAAATTTTGGGACTAGAAACCTCATCCCATTCTAATAGTTACAAATTTTGTTTCGGGATAGAAACCTTAATCCAAATTGACTTTTTTTTTGGTTACTAATTAACGGTGTTATACTGTCAGTAGAGACATATTGAAAGAAACTGAAGTACCTTCTGTATAGGTAAATTGGTTAGTTTACAGAAGTAATAACAATGATAACATGGTCTTCAATTTTAATCCTGCTCGTATTACCTTATTGACAATTTCAATCAGTGAACTGTTCCAACATAACACCCAAGCAACAAAAAGAAAAAAAAAGGAACCATCATCAGTGAATTTTGACAAATCAGAGCCACGGAAAAGAAGTTCACAATACAGTGCGACTTTTAGAACACCCGATTAGAAGGAGCCACCCAACTGTCAAAGTTCAGAAGTTTCAATTAGTAAATGAAATAAAACAAAAGACAAGAAAAATCAATTTTTGTGATGAAAAATGACCCCAGTTACCATAAAAGGTATCAGTGATCAGTGAATTATGCAAATACCGAGCCAGACTAAAACCACAACAGATTTTTATTCACAAAAAAATGATGAAGTAATGAGAAAAGAAATCCGAAACCTAAGGTGCCTGAGAAATAATTGAATACTCCTGGAGGAAGGATTTTTCTTTCTCTAGGCTAATATTCACCTTTGGATTGTATGGTGGTGAGGATCCCATTTTGGGAACCATATACATCCAAGGGTTGGTATTCTCGTAAAGGAAGTTCTCAAGAAGCTTAACTAGCGGTCTAGCAGCACACTACAATATTAGCTCATGTAATTCGCAAGGTAAGTAGGATCCTAACCCTTTGTCAATCCATAAATGTATTTTCTTATGAGCAAAAGTAACAGGTGTAATCAGAAACAACATCAACATCAACATCAACAACACCTTTATCCCAAATTAATTGGGGTCGGTGGTAGATGAACCCACATGAAAGATACAAAACGGTTGAAAAAAAAGTAAAAAAAATAAAAATAAAAATAAAAATAAAAAATAAATTAATAAATAAATAAAAATACACAAATAAAATAAAATAAAAATATATGTATATATAAATAAATAAAAGTAAAAAAGAAAGGGACAAGAAGAAGTGGGGGAAATGAAGGGGAAAAGGACTAAAAAGGGACCATCTGGAACATAGGAATAACAGCGGGTCTAACCCTCCACCATACTTATAGCTTTTCTCCATTCCTTTCTAAGACATACTGTCCGCCAATCTATATCCCACTCCATTAAATCAGAAAATGTGAATGAAATGACCTAGCACTAACAAGGAGATTTTACATACCAAAATTGCCTCAATCTCCTCATTAGACACAGGAGTTCTTTTGGGCTGAAGAGAGGCCTTCCCTGCAACTGTTCCTGAAGCTATTGAACTCGAAAAGAATGATAAATTAGCATCACTTGCTGAAGACGAAGGTTGAGTCCCAGATGCAGAACCTGCAATGAAATTTTTAATAGAAATAGAAAATTTACTTACATTCAACAGGAAATAATTAAGGAAACAGTCAGTACTTCATCTTGAAGATCCAACTATCATCAATCATGACAACAACAACAACCACCAAGCCTTGTCCCATTAGTTGGGCTGGCAACATGGATCAACCAATGCTATTAGGCTCTATCAAAAACCAAATTTTCAATAAATCCATTTAATACTATTATCAATCACAACATAATCAAAATGAAAACACAGATTGAATATGTTAGGACAGAAAAATAGTTGTTTGGAAGAATAAAGAGAAGTCAAACTAATTAACTTAGAAAGTTGGAATAGTTATTTAGAGAGAATTAGTTAGATAAAAAAATGGGGGGAACTGGGAAGTATCGGTAGGGGGATCCTGGAGGGAATTGTATTTTGAAAGAACCAAGCAAGTGGTCAGTTGTGAAAGGGGAAAGGAAGAAGATATCTTTCTCCTTATTTTGTTCATTTTCAGTCAAGCAATAAAATCATTCTATTCTTTTCTCTATTTCCATCACCTAACAATTTTGGTCCAACCTGCCAAATCTCTATGAGGGAAGATAGGGAGAACTCAATAGTGTTACTGGAGAAGGTTGATAGAACTGGACCAGAAATTAGGGAATAACAAAAAGAAAACGTAGGAATTTTATTGAGTTTCCTCCTCTAACTCTGAACTATCAAAAGGGCAAATATGGTGTATAAAAGGAAACTTACCAGGAATTAGAGCCTGGTCTCTCCCTCCTAAACAAACTCACCAAGTAACTACCTTCACTTATATTCCCTCAATCAATTTATATCCTACCTCTGCCACTGCAGTTAGATTACTATCTAACTAACTCTAATAACTTCCCTAACAATTTTAACTGACAAGGCCTAACTCAAAGAGGCTGGCTCTTTAGGCCCCCGCTGATTTTTTCTAATATATACCTTCCTGATTTGGGACCCTAATAATACTCACCCGTAAAAGCTTACCTTGTCCTCAAGGTGAAGGACCGATACATATTGTGGATAGACAGATAACTCCTACAAGGGTCCCAATGCTTGAAACTTAATGATATAGTTCCCAACTCACTGAAAACCTCTTTTGCACCGCTAACAGCAGTAGGGTCAGGAAGCACAGGATTGAACATTGCAGCAGTATACATCTCCAATTTCCCTCTCATGATTGAAGGACTAACAGCTAAACAAGCATATGCCACTAACTCCCATGGCCAACCACTAATCTGTAAATTCTTCGTCAAGAGTTCTAACTTTCTAGTAAATCTTCAATTTCTAGTAAACAATTTTCTGACTTAATCTACACCATGATGGGTGTAGGGATTTCATTCAGTTGCTCAACAGGGGGATCAAATGGATCAGGATCTCATGAAATGGTTATCTCAGTCACTAGAGGACATTTCTTGGGAGTGTGTGCGTTTGATTCATTTTCAGTTTTCAGTATTGTTAGGACAGAAGGATAGTTGCTTGGAAGAATAAGGGAAGACAAAGTAGTTAGTTTCGACACTAAGAACAGTTAGTTAGAGGGTATTAGATAAATAAACAGGAGGAAGAAAGGGTAGGGAGATCATGGAGGGGATTGTATTTTGAGAGAACCGTGCAACTGCTCTGTTGTGAAAGGGGAAATCCTTTGTAAAGAGAAAACCCTTGGGGAGGAGAGATCTTTCTCCTTATTCTGTCATTTTTTTTTACTTCCATTACAGGTTCCTAACATAATAGAGATCCAAAACATAAAATGAAAAAAAAAATGAAATTTATAACATGCAAATCCTTCCTAGTATGGAACCTTAAAGAAGTAATTAGGCTTCTTTGATCTTAATCTTATAAAATTTGGGACATGTGAGATGCCCTTAGTACAGTTGGTGGTGTGTGGGTAGAGAACACCTATGGTTTGTCATGAATCCATAGGTGCAACTAAATCAGAGCAATAACATATTTTCAGTAATTCTAGACAGCTTTTTAACTATACCAGAAAACAAAAAGTACAGCCAGTGTTTGGAATAGGAGGCCTATAATGCATCCATCACCAATAATATACGGAGAAAGTGTATATTATTTTTAACGAAACTACGTCGATTTTTGTTTTAGTGTGTTTTTACATTTTCTCTTTTTTATAAAATTAGGAAGAAAGATAAAGAATGTAAAAACACACAAAAACGATGTAGTTTTATTAAAAATAGCATAATTTTGTATCATTTAAAATTAAAAACACTTTTCACATAATTATATGGGCTCGCTTTTTCTACAGTCAACGTAGATAACTTCTACATTGAGTCCAAAACGACATCATTTTGAGTCGGAAATCAAAGTATTTTTTTTAATTATAATTTATTTCAAGGTTATAATAGTTTTTTTCATTATAATTTTTTTAATTTTTCAATCCAAAACAACATCGTCGTTCGAGCGAATGTAGAACATTCAACAGTGAAGCCTAATTATATTGATGTAAAAGGATTTCCTGTGCAAAATCAAAACGATAAAGCGTGCATAGAACGAGTATTTAACAGCATAGCATTGCAATATACCTAACATTTGGGGCTAGATTACGCTCTAAATAATGATTCTGAAGGAAAACTACGAGGATATAAAGGAAATACAAAATACCCTCCTAAAAAATATAAAATTAGGATGAATTAAAGGGGATCCGATGATATTAAATAAAAGTTGGAGAAATAAGAAACCAACCAGAGGGCTTGGGATGTCTCTGGGGGAACTTGATGCGAGGGATTCTTTTCATGGCTTGAGCTCCACCCATCGCTGATACTTGAAGAAACTAGAAACAATGTCTGAGATTTCAGAAACCAAACAAGCCACAATGATACAAATCGCTGTGTTTCACGCCACACATGTAAAGCATAACCACACGTGCATTGGACAAGTCCAATATTCTTATGTATGCTGATGTTTCTTACGTGTCATTAAAGCCATTTGGGCCTGATTATTACATTAATTGAAACGGAAGCCCACCCCACACAGAGATCGGGCTGCTCATTGACATGCGGTGAAAAATATGTACAAATTAGAAACCCATCATTTTAGGATTATTGATTGGGAAAAAAATATTTAATGTTACTTTATATAATTTTGTCTAATGTTCATCGAAATGACATTATTTTTTAGTTATAAAATTAATAAATTAGAGTGATAAAAATTATTATAATCCTAAAATAAATTAAAATTATAAATATATCATGATTTTTGTCCTACAACGACGTTGTTTCAGTACACATTAGATAAAGTTGTCTAAAGTAACTTTAGAAAAAATGAACCCTTAAAGATAAGGATTTTATAATTCCTATTTAATACGAGAAGAGAAATTTTTTTATACATTTTTCTATTTTGGTACTGAAATTGGTTTCACATATGGCTTTTTCTGATATATGGGATCCATGTGACTTTTTGTCTTTATAACATAAGAATTCCTTCTCAATATAACATGAGAATTATAAAACTCTATAGATAAAATAAGTGTGAATAACCATTTTTTTTTTGTTACTCAATTCATCTTCTGTATACAATCTTGAAGTCTTCAATCAAAATATTCATTGATTTTTAAGTGAATAAATTCATGCTTAAACATAAATTAAAATTCTTAAGATTATGTCATCCCTCATGATTTATTTTATTTATTATTTTCAAATGAATTGAGTTAAAATTTTCTTTTAACTAATTATATACTTAATTATATTTTCTACAAAAATCTCGCTGTATTTAAATAATCCAGCATTATACGTGATACTCACTAATTAATTAAAAACGACAGATTTTATGTTTTCTAATTGCACATTGTGGAACAGCAATTTGATTTATGTTGTAATTTTAAAAGAATTTGCAATAGATTATATTATTTTGGGTTTTATTACTCTCATTCAACATAAGATAGATATCTTATGTTGTAGAGAGAAAATAGGTGGGTCCCACCATTACAAAAAAAAAGAAAAAAAAGAAAAAGGTGGGGCACGAAAATCGAAGAGAGAGAAAATGAGAGATGATATCTCATGTTGAAGGAGAGTAATATTTCCCTATTATTTTAGTTTTAATTATTTTAATTTTATAAATTGTTTGGCATGGGCTAGTTGGAAAAGCCTATCATTTCCCTTTTTCCTCGTGGTGAGCACGTAAATCTCATTGTAAAGTATCTCTCACTCCCTTACATAACTCATTATTTGTAGGGAAAAGTGTTTATCCTTTTAAATGACACAACTTATATCATTTCACTCTCATAAAGAAGTGGGACCAATACCTTTATTTTGTTGTCAACTCTCTCTCCTTCTTTATCTATCTCTTTCTCTCTCTTAAAATAATACAATTTTACATCTTTTAAAATGACATAGAGTTTACCCTTATTTGTATATGTTGGTATGCAATTCCTCATCCAGAGCAATGAGGTAATGGAAAAAAACGGATATGGCTCTCTTTCTCTCTCATCTGATTAGAGAATATTTCTAATTTATATATACTCCTCTTTATTATTTGAAGATGCACCTTGCACTCGAAAATTTTATGAGTTATTACTTTATCAAAATTGCAAGTCGTCGTCTCTTTCACGTTCTCTCTTTCAAATATATCTAAGAAGAACTTACGATAACTCCTTCAGGAACTTTCATCTATATCATTACCTTTAAAAACACCTATATAACAAAATAATTCATCCATCAAAGGATACAGACTTAGTTCAACTTCATTATACAAACGTACTTATTAGTGAATTTGCTGTAAAGCAATTGTCTTCAGAAACATTTACTTAAAAATTGATTTTGTTAAATTATAATTTAGTTTTACACTGCAAAAGCAATAATGTTGTTATTTTCATTTGAGGATAAAATCATAAGACATTTGTCTCCGCAACAAAAGCCCAACATATTGCAACATTGTTATTTAGTGAGCACATTAACTATATGTTTTGATAAATAGAAAAAAATGAGCAAATAATTTTTAACAATTCACTTTATATTACTTAAAAAAAACAAAGAGGAGAAAAAACCCTTTAAAATTTAAATAAATAAAGAATATTAAATTCCCTCCTTGTTTTTCTAGTAGATTATTCTCTCTATGTTTTAAATTTAAGAAAAACATTTCTTTCCTATTCTATCTTTTTACATGAAATGCAATCCAAACAGAGGTTTAGTCCTCAAAAGTGATTGCATTTCATAAATTGCTTTTTTTAGTCCTATTTTATCTTCAAATGCCTATTCAAAGTAGAACTTTAATCAGATTCAACATAAATTGCTATAACTGGCAATGTGTGCACAGCCTGAACTTTATAATAAATGTAATTTTATGACTTTAAATTTAAACTCAAAAATATAAAATTTCATGTATAAGAATATAAGAATATAAGATTATAGTGAACCATAATTCGCAATAATGGTATTTATGATTTGGATTGGATCGGTAAGGAAAAAGTATCTCATATAATCCCTTTGGTTTGATCATTTGATCATTATCTATTCAGTTTAGATTTCTTTTTAAATCCAACCCAATCTAATTTAATTCGATTTGGATTTGATTGAATTTTGATTTTTTGAAAAGTCTAAAATTTCAATAATACAAATCACTAGCTATATCGAAATAAAGTTATTCAAAATTATGAATCATTGAAAAATTCAAGTCTTAAAAAAAGTTTTAAACTTCATTAAGAGTTAAAATAAATTAATAGACAATAAAAACTAAAACAAGATAATTTGCTATCAATAACATTGAAGATTCAAAGTCACCATCTTTCGAAAATATATAATCAGAAAAATATTTTTGCAGTTACTGCAGATAAGTTATCTACATTTGTTCCCAAAATGACGTTATTAAAAAATTATAATTATAAAGACTATTATAACCTAAAATAAATTAAAAATACAAAAATACTTTGATTTTCGTCCCAAAATGACGTTATTTTGGACTCAAAGTAAATAACTTATCTGCATTAACTGCAGAAAAAATAAACCCATATATAATATATTAGATCGGTTTTCATCAACCAAATTAAAAACTGATCTAATCCAATTAAAATATGTGATTTTTTTTTTAGTTTTTAATTTTTTCGGTTAATTCGATTATCAATTTTTTGATTTAATACCGCGATTTAAATTAATTGATGAATACCGGTAATTCGCAGTAGGTAATTAGAAAAGGCTAACGAAGGTTCGAAACATAATCACATTGACTTAGTCTCGGCTAAACCGCGTTGCATAATTTCTCAACGACTCATTCTTCGCATCACTTTCTAAGGTGGCGTGATTTGATCTTCAACAGAGACAGAAGAAGAAAGCAATGGAAAATTAGTCAATACGGTGACAATTTTTTTAAGTAAAAACAGAACTTAACCCCACAGGTAGAATAACTAAGAATATACGTTTTAATTTTCAACGCGAGCTTAATTGAATTGTTTGACCAACTACCATGACATGTGTGTTCCGTCATGGGTTTTCTCCTACTGTTAGAGAATGCAGAAGTTACGAAATACAATCGGCCATTACCTTCTTACATTTCCCAAAAAACGGGTGGGGGATTAAGCTTCTGTCCCCATACCTCAATTTTTAACGGACATCTCTCTAGAATCAAGACGCTTCCTTTTTTTATTTTTTTTATTTATACATATTAAGATTTGATGAATTTTAGTTTTTTTCCTTTCAAGCAATTCCAATTTACTAGTGTTTTCAAAACAGATATTCCCTCAAATAGAGGTGTAAATGAGCCAAATTGTCCATTTGAGACCTACAGTCTAACCTATTTTAGGTATATTCTAATTTGATCTATTTAAAAAATAGAACAGGTTTAGACTTTTAAAAAATTCATTAAAAATTAAGTCATAAACTCATTCTAAAAAGTTTGATAAAAGTTTAAGGTTGATCTTTTAATTTTTTTAATAAGATAATATATTTATGAAGATTTTCAAAAAACAGAAAAAAAATTCCTAAGAATAACTATTTCACATATTGTTATGAACATTATTTAACAATCTTTATAATCTTGTTAAGAAAATTATTTGGAAATTTTTATAATTTAAACTTTTGCTGGAAATACCGTTTAAAGAATGAGAAATTTTAAATTTCTTTTAGTTTAGTTTGCAATTTAAAAGCTTAGAAGGCCTTAAAGACCTTGTTAGGTTTTTCATTTTTTTATAATAAATCAAGTCATATTTATAAATTAAGTTTTTTTAATAGGTTAATATAGACTCTAAATATTTTATATAAATTTAAGTTATTAATATCAAAATTTGACATAATCTGACCAATTTACATAATTAGCCTCCCAAGTTGCATAGCTATATTGCAATTGTTGACCATCTATGTTTACTAAGAAGTAATAAGCAGTTATTTATGCATAACTCAGCTGTCACCGTCACTGATGCCATGACACTAGACTTGTAAGCTAAATTAAAGTTGAGCGAGTCTTTCATGTTAACTAACCAAGCAACTTGGAAGAGGTGACATCAAAGTTACTGCTTAAAACTTCGCACTTTATATATGCACTGCATTACAGGATTAAATAAAGCCAAAAATGTTTGGCTTTGATGAACATATGTCAATTTCTTGAACTGGCCAAACTTCAGAGATGGCCCATGTGTCCTATTCACCTGACATGTGAGATGACCATAAAAGCCCTCAACCCACAACTATATTGACTATTTCAACAATGACTATATAGTCTTTGAACATCAGTAAGTAGAAGCACACAAGAGAGTAGTAAACATTTCCCTATTTTTGAAGTTGAGAGATTTACCAGTCAATCACTTAAAACTTGACTAATAGATTCATAGACCTGACTTTTTTTTCTTGGGTTGATGGCTAGGTCACCTATTGGTTAACAAAACTTCCAATGCAACTTAATCAGCACCATTTTTTATTATTTTTATTTTTATTGCGTACCCCAGTGAACACTTCACGCTTGTACTCGACCAAATTACTATAAATTCACTCTTCCTTGTTTTTTTTGTCTCAACATTGAGCACTTGTTCTCAGTTTCCAATTGTAACTTCCTTCATTATTCCTTGATAAAATTACTCAAAACTCTTTCCTTTTAAGAATGATTCGCACCGTGTTTGCTTACCTTAAAAAAGGGAAAGCATCACATAAAAAGGTAAAGGTAGAGCCACTGATCAAAGTCACAAAAGCTGTATACAGAGATGAGTTAACCAAAAAGCAATCGCCAACAAAAAAGACAGTGAAGAAAAGTGTGCGGTTTGCGGATTCAGAACCTACCATTTTGGGAGAAGACAGAGACAGTGAGAAGGAATTTGAGAAAAGAAACTGTGCAGCTGGCAATGAATTTGGAGAAAAAGAGGGGATTAGAGTGAAGGTAAAGATGACAAAAGAAGAAGCCGCTCGGTTTCTATCAAAATGCAATGGAGGAGTTCTCGAATTCAAGGACGTTGCTCGCGAACTTGTGTCGATCCCAGTGAACCGAGTTAGCGTTGTGTCCACTTACACAAACAATTTATAACAAAGCTTCTTCATTCCGATGATTACAATCCTTCTCTTTCTCTTATTGATTACAGTTTAGTTTCTCTGTAAAAATATAAAACATTATATATTAGCTAGGAGAATTTTTTCATATTATTAATTTTAGGAAAAGAAGCATATTCTAGCTTAACTCTACACGTACGGTCAGTGGAACAAGTAATCCTATTTCCTAGGTCATTCTCTAATGAGGCCAGAGGCCTATGTATTATGTATACAGCCTATGCTCTAATGTCTTGCAACTTAACTGAATCAGCATCACTCTGTTGCCTCCTTTACATTGATATTTTCCAAAAAATGATACAGAGAACACGGCTTGTTTGATTTTTTTATTTATATTGTACTTAATTAAATTCTGTTTTGATGAATTTGCATGTACTTCCACGAAGCCACCATGGCTCATGACTTACTATAAAATACGTACTTCAGTACCTTGGTATGTATATTTTATTTCCTGCTCAAAGAAATTTGCGGCTTATGTATACTTAATATTTGATTGATGGGTTGACTACTAAAAAAACTATGGACTAAAAGAAGTTATAAAATTTTGTTAAAAGTTACATAAAAATACAATTTTTTTTATTAAAACTAAAATTTTTATAAAAGTAGTACCATTCTGCCATACATAGTAATGAGATGAGCTCTTGATTGATTCTATATTTATATATTGTGAAGAAATGGGGCATGATCGTTTCAGTTCACACCAATATCAACTAAGAAGTTTCACATCAAGTTCTAATAGTTGATTTTATGAATTTTGTTACGTATGACTCGTACTTTGTATATTGACGAGGATCCTTATTGATGCGCTCAGCAGATCTGGGGTCTCGTAAAGGCCTGATATTATTGTGAGTTTCTAACATATTGTAATTTTCTTTTACTTAGTCGTTTGGGTTTGAGTCCATTAATAGCTGTTGTTAGGATTTTCTAAATATTATTTATATTCCCTTGTAAACCGAGTGATTTGTGACAAGTAAACTATGTTGGGTGAATCAGGATAAATCACCGTGTCAATTTTCTCTCTCCCTTTCTCTTTTTTGTTTTTGATTTATATGTTGTGCGATTGTCGATTTCCAACAAATTTAACAGTTATAAATTATTGGATCACATTTATTAATTAATTAATAATTTTTAATAAATTATAACCGTTAAATTTGCGAAAATCAACGGTTAGAATTTGATATCAAACATTTTAGTTTGACACCGGTATCAAAGGATCTTATCTCGTGAAGAATATATGTATTTTTTATGGGAAAAATATTTGTCTTTTAAAGGATATTGAGTTGTGTCATTTTAAGTGAGAGGAAGATACAAACTAATATTTTTTTGTTTAAAATATAAATTTTAAAAAAAATCACTCACTTTCTCTCTCGTAATTTTCATTTCTTGTGTCTTTCTCTCACTTAAAATGACACAATTTTATGTCATTTAAAAGAAAAACACCAAACCCATTTTTATTTAGTTTTAATGTATTTTTTCTGTATAAAAATTAGTTTTAACTTTACATAAACTAAAGTATTATAATATTATTGAATGACTTTGACACTTCATTTTTTTAAGTTACTTTTAGAAAAATTTATCTAATGTTCACAACATTATTTTGGGGCAAAAATTATAGTGTATTTTATAATTTTAATTTATATCAGGGTTATAATAGTCTTTATCATTCTAATTTTTTAAACTTTCAACTCTAAAACTACGTCGTTTTGGTAAACATTAGACAAATTTTTCTAAAATAACTTTAGAAACTTTATTCCCTTTATATAATTACAGTTACTACATAAGATATTAATCAAGCTTAAATAATAAATTAATAAGTTTTATAACCAAAGAACATTAAAATTAAACTATTTCTTTGTTAATTATGAGTAACGTATATAAGGAAAATAGAGTATTTATACTTCATTTTTACACTTTCATATACATTTATATTATATATTGCAAGGAAGGAGAAATGCAATTGCACTATAGAAGCATGTCAACCCCGAAGAGGCCGGCTGTAGTGGTTTTTTGAAAGATCAATCTGCTGTCTAGGTGATTTGGTTTCACTATGGCCAGGGAAGCCAAGTTAGAAAATAACTAAATTAAAGCGAAAAAACTAAAATATAGTTATATTGACTATTTATTTAATTTTTCCATTCTTACTAAATTTTTATCATCGTTATATTGTATTTAAATCAACGGTCGAAATAAAAAGAAACAAAATGAGTAATTAGTTGAAAAAAAATAAGGAAGTAAGAAACAAAATAAAAAAATTATTTTATTCGAGACCATTGATTTGAATTTCATCTAACAATAATAAAAGGATAATAAAGGTAGGAAGATTAAATAGTTAGGTATTATAGCCATTCCCTTCTTCTTATGTCAAATTTTTTTTTTTGATAGACTTCTTATGTCATTTTTTAATAATAAATTAAAAACACTCAGTCTATTAATTTCTCTTTATCTTTTATTTCCCAAACCAAAAATTTACATAAATAACATGAAATTTAAGGGTTGTAAACATCGATATTTTATTTTTTAGATTTCTCTACCGGTTTATTAATCAACTAATCTGATTGAGATTTAACATAAATATATGCCTAAAATTTAAATTCAAAATCACTGATTAAATTCAAACTAGTCCATATCAATTAATCCACGTTTTTAGAATGCACTTTTTATTTGGTGTCAAACATATGAAATATAGTCATCGCCTTACAAATCAAAATGATTTGAAAGCCTGACCATTATAGTTTATAAAGGCAAAGCCCAGTAAATAACAACGAAACGATAGAAGCCCAACCCAAACTCACTCCTACCAATTCACATTCAGCAGATTTGTAGTTAATAATCAGTTTAGTTCAAGGGGAGTAGATACTCTCTTTCCTAAAAACAAAAAAACAAAAAAACAAAAAAAGATATGAAAGGAAATAATTATAAAAGTAATGGTAGTGTAAATATATTATTTTTCTCATATTTGGTAAAAGATATACTGAATATTCGGTATATCTGTAGTAGTGAATATATTTTTTATATAATTAATAAGTTGATACTTGATGAGTTGTCTTATGATAGAAGTTTGTTGGTAAAACAATATAAATGTTTACTTGCATGCCTAACAGAAAAATAACAAAATGTGTACCACATAATCCTAGAAGCAATATTTCAAAATAAAGGTGGACTTTTTTTTCTGTATGATTTTGGAGACACGAGAAATACTTTCATATGGAAAATATTATCAGCTACTTTCAGATGAATAGGAGAGATTGCTCTTAATGTTGCTTCAAGTGGAATTGCTTCATTATTGTTACCACGGGGAAGAACTGCTCATTTCCGATTCTGCATACTAATTGATATCAACGAATATTCCATTTGTAATATAAAACAAAATTCGACTTAAGCTGAGTTGCTATCAAGAGCTAAATTAATTATTTGGGATGAAGCAACAACGATTCATAGATTCTGCTTCGAAGCTTTGGATAGAACATTAAGAGATATTCTTCATTTTTCAAATCCAAAAAGTTCTGAACAACCATTCAGTGGGAAGGTCGTTGTTCTTGGAGGTGATTTCAGACATATCTTGTCTGTTATTCCTCGTGGTGGAATGCAAGAAATTGTATATGCAACAATCAATTATTCAAATATATGGCATTATTGTCAGATGTTGACCTTGACAAAAAACATGTGACTCCATTCACAAGGTTATAATAATGATGTCATGGAGATTAAAATGTTCTTCGAATGGCTTCTTGATATTGGTGACAACAATGTTGATGGATTCTCCATCATAAAAATCCTATATGATATATTGATTAATGATTCCAATGATCCGCTCTCAGATTTAGTAGAATTTTCATATCCAAATCTTTTGAAAATATGGATAATTCGTCTTTCTTCCAAGAACGTGCTATCTTAGCACCTACATTAGCGGATGTCTGCATATTAAACGAGTACTTAATGTCAATAATTCTAGATGAAGAAAAAGTATATCTTAGTTTGAATATTATCTATAAAGCAGAAGGGAATAACAATCTTACGCAAGAAGCATTTTCTCCAGAAATACTTAACACTTTTTCTGGAACTGGACTTCCTAACCATAATTTGACGTTCAAAAAATGGAGTGCATGTCATGCTTCTAAAAAATATAGATCAATCAAGAGGGTTGTGCAATGGGACAAGATTGCTTATTACAAAACTTGGTGAACATGTTGTAGAAGGAAAAATTCTTTTAGGCAATAACATACGTGAGATTGTGTAAATTCTAAGGATGAATTTGAGTCTTTCTAATTACACATTCCCTGTAAAGTTTGAACGTAGGCAATTTTCATTGGTTGTTTGCTTTGTCATGACAAAAAACAAGATTCAAGGTCAGACTTTATCATATGTAGGAATTTATCTTCCAAGATCAATTTTTACTTATGGTCAATTGTATGTTACTCTCTCTAGGGTCAAAGGTAATAAGGGTATAAAGCTTCTCATACTTGATGATCATGGCACAGTTGCCAATACTACAACAAATAATGTATTCAAAGAAAATTTTCAAAGGTTGAAATAAGTTAATTTGTCTTATTTGTTAAACTATTTTACATTAATTTACAGAGTTTCACTATAATACGTAATGTACATGTAATTTTATTGTTTATTTAATTATATTTTGTACTTTTTACTGACCTCGCACGGGTCATAAACTAGTACTAACTAAAACACTGAAAGCACTGACACACACTTTTAAAAAAAAATTGCGTGTCGAACAAGTGTCGGTGTCAGACACCGACACGTTCCGACACGCGGTCAACATTTTGGGACACGCGATCAACGCTCTGACATTCATTTTCAACATGCGGTCAACGCTCCGACACGCATCTGACACGTTTTTTTAGGTCTAAATTGTATTTTATTAACTAAATATGAAAAAATAATTTGTAAATCAATTTTTTCTGTTATGAAATTTGACATGAAAAAATATTTTTGTTGTATATTTATGTTATAAAATTTGAATATTTAATTGAGTATATGATTTATTATGGCCTGTAATATGTATTAAATATAAATTATATTATATATATTTAAAGGGAGGGTTCTTTTAACTCCAGAATAAGACTTAAAAGTCTTACTCCCCATCTCAGCCGTTGATGGACGAAAATCAACGATCGTCATTTATAGTGTAATTAATAATTAATTAATATAACTTCCTAAACTATAACCGTTGGATGGACGGAAATCAACAGTTAGGATGAAGAGTAAGACTTATATGATCTCTCTTCATATTTAAATATTATTTAATATCAAAATATGTTCTAACGTGTCAAAATATGATATTTTTTAGAATTAACAGTGTGTCGTGTCCTATGTGAATTTCGTTACAAGATAACTAAAACCTATACGCAAATCATACTATCCACGCCTCATTTAATCAAAAAACGTTATAGGGATTGGGCACCTTTCGTTGAAACAATAATTCATTAATGTTTTCCCTAATGGTAGGTAATATAAATTAACATACGCAAACTGACCTCTTTTTTATTTTAATGAGAGACGCAAGCCGACTTTGAATTATTATAAGCCTGTCCTTGTCTAATGGTAGGTAATACTATTATCAATTCGCATATATATAATTCTTTCTTCTTCTTCTTCTTTTGAAAAAAATATAAAGCACCAATTATTTTCTGTGCTGTTTATAGTAGGTTATTGTGAAGTGCCTCCTTAAAATTATTTGGAATGAATAATCTTATTTAAAGTAGGTATTGATTCAAAAAGTTTGTACTAAAAATTCGTCCATACGTCATAGAAAAACAAAAAATATATATATAGGGTCTGTTTGATTTTAATTTTGTAAAACAGTTTTATAATTTTAAAAACAAAAAAAATTGTTTGGAAAAGCTATTTTGTAAAAATAATTTCAAAAACTGTAATTGGATTTTAGTTTTTAAAACAAAAATTACGAAACACCTGAATGTTGTTTTGAGACTATTTGATTGTATTTTGTTTCTTTTGTTCTTAAAATTATTTTGTAAAATAGTTTTTAAAAACTGATTTTCAGAATAAAAGAAGAAAAGAGTTTGTTTGGTAATCTTATTTTAAAAAGAGTTTTAAAATTTAAAAAAAATTACTTCATAATTCGGTTCTGAAAATGTTTTCAAAAAAAAAAGTTGGGTTAGTAATTTTTTCTTGTTAACTTTCTTTAATCATATATGTAAAAAATTCATAAAGTCTTTTTGAAGACCAAAATAAATTATATTATAAATTTTTTGGTTATTGTTTTTTCAATTGCTAACAACATCACATTCTCAATTCCCCCTTAATTATATTATCAATGTGCATTTCATTATTTTAGTTTGAGATGGTGAATCGAATACGGTAAACTACAGAATTTTTTATATTCTATCAATCATAGTGTTGATAGAATATAAAAGAAAATAACAGATTGGACATAGTTTCATAATCAGGTCAGCAAATGTATACATTCGTAGGTTTTCTCTTGTTCCTCCTAATCAAAGCAAAAGTAGCATATAACTATGGGTTCGCTTTTTCTGTAGTTACTGCAGATAAATTATTTGCAGTAAGCCCAATACGACATTATTTTAGGACATAAATCATGGTGTTTTTGTAATTTTCAATTTATTTCAGGGTTATAATAGTTTTTATATTTATAATTTTTTAAAATTTTAATACCAAAATGACGTCGTTTTGAGAATAAATGGAGATAACTTATCTGCATAAACATTTTTCCCTATAACTATATACACATTAGTAAAAATGATCAGACCAAAGCTTGAGCAAAACAAAAAATGCAGCAAAGGAAAAGCTAATCTGATCATGATAAAGTTTAAGCAAAACACAAACTAAAGTCACACCATAGCTGCTCCAAAATTAAAATCACAGTTGTGGCATAGTACATCATAATCTAATCTGACCAAAAGTATCCAGTCATGCATTCAAAGTTTCTCTGTCAATTGTACCTAGTTATGTCTTTCTCCTGTCAGTAGACATAACAAGAAACACTTCCCTCCAAGTAGGCTTCATAAAATTTTTGAAAGCCTTAATGTAGATGTCATTTGTAACGTCTTCAATCTCTTCAAGGGCAGCCACACACTTCGCAATAGAATAGTTTGAAGAAGTGGCCCTAAACTTCTCTGCTCTTGAAAAAGAAACTTATGTTAGATGCTTTAGCCCATGCTTGAAGTGCATTTGCCATTTGAAATGTTTTAGACTCTTTGTAAGACTTACGTACGTTCTCTTAATTTTGTGTTTTCCTTGATGTGTGGTTTGCTCAATTGTTTGTAAGTAGGGGTGTAAATAGGTCAGGTTAGACCAAGCTTTGGCCTTCATGACCTAGGCTTACAAAAAAATATGTTGAGCCTATCTGTTCTATTAGTCTATTAGAGGCTTGGTTTATAGGTCAGACATGATCTACTGTTAAAAAATAAAATGCCTAACATGGCCTATAGGCCTACAAAAAAATATGTTGAGCCTATCTATTCTGTTAGTCTATTAAAGGCTTGGTTTATAGGTGAGGCATGATCTACTGTTAAAAAATAAAATGCCTAACAAGGCCTATAGGCCTTCTAGGCCTACCAATTATTACATATTTATAAGAACAATATGAAACCAATAAATTAGGGTGAAAACATGATCTAAATTTCTCTTCTTTCTAATTAGAATTTCTAACGAACGAGTTAGTGCTTCAGGGAAGGGATTATTAAGGTGAGAATTAAGAAGTGGCGCAAAGAGAAACGACGAGAGTGAGAACTAAGAAGCGGTGCACAAAAGAAGGAATTAGGGTTGGGATTTGGGACGTAGGATAAATGAGTAAAAGTTAAGATAAATATATTATTTATTTTAAAAAAATGTAATATGTCAGCGTGTAAATCAGGCTTTTCATAGTTAGTCAATGGCCTAATTGTTAAATAGTCTTTTCTACAAGCCTAAAACTATTATAATTTTCAAAAAACTGAGTCATTTACACCTTTATTTGTAAGTCATGAACTATCTTGATTAACATTTACATCATCACCATAATATATTTCTATTTAATAATTAAAAAAATTTAAAATATGTTTAGAATTTTCTTAAAAAATATTCCAGAATTATTATTTATCATGAATAAATATCCACGTAATTGTTTAAAGTCCTCTCATGATGATTAAAATCATTCATTGTATTATAAATATAAAATACTAATATTCCAATATATAATTTACTGTTGAATAAGAATTATAGAATGAGTCAAACATGTGATTCCACGATTTTTTTCTTTGTTTTCCTTTTGGGAAACTGCAATGTGGACAGCACAGTTCAGATTGCAAGAATCACTTCTCTCGCATTACCATGGCGAAGCCGCCATTCGTATCTCTCATATGAAATTCTCAATCCATCAATAACACTAGATTCTCCTTTAAATCAAAATGGCCACGTTGCTATCTTTCTTTTTGATGTTCATCCTAGTCTTGTTGGCGCATCCAAGAACAAGCGCTGGATTCATATGTGAAAGCACATCTTGCGAAATCGGTGGACTTCCTATTCAGTTCCCGTTTTGGTTGAGACAAGCAAATCAAAGTCAACTCTGTGGTTACCCAGGAGGGTTCGAGCTGTCGTGTAGCAACAGCACTAACGGTCAACCGTTGATTACTCTACCAGAAGCCGGAGACTTCGTGGTGAAACTCTTCTCACTAGAGAACCAAAAGATTTGGATTAATGACCCTGAAGAGTGTCTCCCAAGTCGTTTCATGCATAACCATGGGTTGAACCTCGAAGTTTCCCCATTCCGATTGAGCGATTATTATACTATTGTCGATTACTCCTTCCTTAACTGCCCCTCCAATTTAACCTCTTCCTTACTTGTACAGCCCATAAGCTGTTTGAATCTAAGCTCTAACAACAAAAACAACAACAACAACAACCACCACCTTAACTATTCGGTGGTAGCTGTTCTGTCCGATCCTCCTTTTTCAACGCCATGGACCTCATCGTGCGACCTGATTTCCACAGCTTCCATCCCCGTTTCAGACATGGTTTCGTTGTTCTGGGTCGACTATTATTCTGACATTCAATTGGAATGGGACAACCCTAATTGCGGAAGTTGTGAAGCACGTGGAGGACGATGTGGGTTCCTTGGTGATCCTCCTTTTAATGTTGCTTGTTACGATCTTCCCAATCAAAGTCAAGGTATCTATTCCCTCTTCACAAATTCTTTCATGTCTTGTTTTGCAATCATAATAACATGTGAAAAACCCGTTAATCAATGAATAAGGCTATGTTTGAATACTCTTTTCAAAAATAATTTTTTAGTTTTTAGAACAAAAAAATAAAAAAACTCGTTTGGCAAGGCCTGTTTCGTAAAAAAAGTTTTAAAAACTGTAACTGTTTTTTTGTTTTTAGAATCAAATTTAGAGAACATGTTTGAGTTGTTTTTGTTTTCTGTTTTGGTTTTTAACTTTCAAAAGAAAAAAAACACAGAAAACAACTGTTTCCATAATAATTCTACAAAACAGTTTTAAGAACAAAAAAAAACCAAAACACAATCAAACAGACCCTAAATTACTGAACTTTTTCTATAAAAGAGATCATTTCCATGACTATCTATATGGAAAAAATTTCCAGTACTGCCAATACATTGGGTTTACAGTGCATCTTTTACATACGTATCTTAATTTTATCAAATTATTAATAAATAAATAATTTATTTTAATATCAAGTGAGAAAGTGATTTAGCACAAAAATAAAACATATATTACATTGTGAGTGAAAAATATATTGAAAGTGCTTAAAAAATTCTCATGTATGTATGGGTTACATATGTGGCATTATAGCATATGAGGCAAGTGGCAATTGATTGAACTTGACTTCATGGTTTGTTTGTTTGTATTTTTTACCCTACCATTCTTTTGGTCACCCACCATGTAGGTCTTTCAAGGAAAGCCAAGTACGGTATAAGTATGGGCCTGGGAATTCCTGGACTTCTAGGTATTATTGGGCTTGCATGTTTTTTCTGCGGTAAGAGGAACAGGGGTGATCAACTGCGGCAAACAAGCACTGAACTTTCTACCCTAATTATGGCACGTCCTTCTGTTGTAGTTATGGGCCTTGATGGGGCAGCTATAGAAAGATATCCTAAAACCCAGCTTGGTGAAAGTGGACGATTGCCCAAGCCCAATGATAACATTTGCTCCATATGTCTGTGTGAATATCAGCCCAAGGAGATGTTAAGGACCATCCCAGAGTGCAATCACTATTTTCATGCCAATTGCATAGATGGGTGGCTCAAGATGAATGCTACCTGCCCGTTATGTCGAAATTTACCGGAGGGTTCCTCTTCATTTTCTCGGTCTTTGCTTTTATCTCCAGCTTCTTAATATTTGTCATTGTAACTATTGCTCTTTCTTTTTCTTTTCTTTTTTATACATATTATTACTCATTATCACAATAATAAGATGGAAGCAGGTGAGTGTAATTTATTCATGTACTATATTTTAAGGAGTGTTAGTATACTTTTTTAACAAAATAAAAAATAGAGTAAATTAAGAGTGGAAAAATCAATTAACAACGGTTAGAATATGATTAAATAAAATCACTAGTATTGATCTAGTAGTGAAGAGTTTGAGTAGGTTGTATTAAGTAATGTGTTCAATTCTCATTTATATATAAAAAGAGAATATGATTAAATAGATAATTCATTTGATTGGAGTAAGTTTACTAGTCAAAAGGATAAAAAAAAATGATGAGCTGCCTGAAATGTCAATTCGGAATAAGAAGGGGACTAATTTAATTTGCCATAAAAATATTACGAGGAATGCTTTTTATGTATAAAGGTATAGGGGCTTATGTCCCTCTTCCGGCAAGAGGAGACATTTATTTTCTACACACTCATAGTTTTTCGTATCAAATATTTTGATTTTTTTTTTTTTACTAAATGATGGGATCCACATCAAAAAACTGTCTATAGCTGGGGGGATTAATTTTCCTGTTTCAGGACAATTGATTTTCCCACCTTTTTAAGTTTAGAAAAGAAGTGTTTTATGATATAAATGTGGGAACAAATCCATTTACCACCAAAAAAATTTACAACTCTTACAACCAATTTAATCACCGTTGATTTCCGTCATTCTAACGATTATAAATTTATAACATTTATTGTGTCACATTTATTAATTCTCAATAAATTATAACTGTTAGATTGATGGAAATCAACGGTGATTAAATTGGTTGTAGGAGTTGTAAACTTTTTTGGTGGTAAGTGGATCCTCTTCCTATAAATATTGGAAAAGTGTTTGTCATTTTAAATGACATAAAGTTATGTCATTTTAGGAGAGAGATAGATACAAGAAATTATTTTTTATTTTAAATTTAAATTAAAAAAACCATCCATTTCCTCTCCCATGATTTTCATTTCTTGTGTCTATCTCTCTCTCCTAAAATGACATAATTTATGTCATTTAAAATGACAAACATCAAACCTATAAATATTGGGTTCATTTTTCTGCAGTTACTGCAGATAAGTTATCTGATTTTACTCTCAAAACTATATCGTTTTGGCGTTGAAATATTAAAAAATTATAATTATAAAGAGCATTATAACCCTGAAATAATTTAAAATTACAAAAACACCTTGATAAATATTTTTAAGTTGTATTTTTAAACTTATAATTAAAAAAGAATTGCAAATACTTTTTTGAAGTTTTTTTTTAAAAAAAAGTTATGTAATTATAATTTAAAAAAGGGAAAAACATATATCCTTTTAAAGGATATAAACTTATATCGTTTTAGATCCTAACCGTTGATTTTCGTCCATCAACGATTATCATCTATTGGGTCAAAATTAATAATTTTAGTTTAATAGATTATAATCGTTGATGGATAGAAATTAACGGTTAAGATCTAAAATAATATAAATTTACATCATTTAAAATGACAGATGTTATTCGCTTTTAAAAAAAACAACAAAATAAAAATATATTCTGTCTATTTCCGGGCCCAATCAAGTTAATGGCTTAGATTGACCAGTGTGGGGGAAGACACTGAAAAGTTGGTGAAGAAGTTTACCCACGGCATTGCCAATGCTATCTGAAATCCCACTGCAGCTTTGAGGTCAGAACTAGCTCCCAGCAATAGCATCACGTTTGTCCATTCGTTTTGTCTTTAGCCTATTGGTCAATTACTGGGCCGCAGCCAAGTACTGTTCCATTCCATCATCTCATCTCTTAAAACTTAAAAGGATTGATTTGGGGTTTCATTTTTACTTTCTCTCTTAGTCTAGCTACTCGATCAGATACAATTGAAACCCTCCTCACCCCCTATCCCATCCCATCCCATCCCATCCCAATTCAATTAACGGTTTTAACTCTTCCCTTCAGTTACTATCCGTATCAAATTAATTAATGACTTTCTTAGCCCACTTGTGCTTACTCTGTATCTTCCTTTTCCATGTTCAAAACACAAGAGCCAAAGTGATTTGCAATAGCATATCATGTGGCGATATTGATATTCAATTTCCTTTCGGATTGAAAGGATCAAATCAAGATCGTCGCTGCAGCTATTATCCAAATCCCAGTTACCAACTTTCATGCGACAACAATAGCCGGACCATTCTCAACCTTCCATATACAGGGGTCTTAGTCGTGAAAAGCATCGATTACGAGGTTCAAACAATCCAAGTCAACGACCCCGATGGATGCCTTCCAAAACGGTTCTTGAATAATTGGAACCTTTCGGAGTCCCCATTCAGGTTAGACCCTAATTATCAACCTTTTAACCTCACCTTCCTTCGTTGTCCCTCCAACGTCACCGAATCATTTCAATTACCATTATCACCAATTTCTTGCCTTAGCGATCCAAGCAATTCAAACTCCTCATCGGTCATAGTTTCATGGACACGACCTATTGTATCGTCAACCTTGTCTCAACGGTGCCAAGTGATTTCCTCGGCTCTTGTCCCACTCCGATTGATGTATATGCCCATGTGGCCCTACTGGCCCGATCTTAACAGTGATATTGGGTTGCAATGGAACCAACCAAGATGTAGGGAGTGTGCGGTTAGTGGTCAAGTTTGTGGTTTCGCCAACGATAAAACCCTTCAACTTGGATGCTTCTCTGCTCCCTCCACCAAAAAAGGTATGTTTTTTTTTTTTTTTTTTAATTATTGGTAAAGTTTTTCTTTTTCTATTGGTTTCCTTTTTTGGTTTTCATTCTATGGCTTTCCCTAATTCCTAACAATATACAACCACGTTAATGTTTTTTTCTGATCAGTTTCGACGGTTTAGGTTGTCTGATTAGTAGTTAGGTAAGACGTCCTATTGACAAACCAAACACGACAAAACCATTTTAACATCACAGGTCGAATTCCAAGAGCATGAAACTTTGTTAAGAAATGGGTATGCTAGGAGTAGAAACTGTATTTTAGAAATAAAAAGCACATTCATCCATTCGAAGAAACAGCTGAATTTCATTTGTTGCCAAACTTCTAAACGAAAATATCTTCGCTTATTCGGTATATTTTTTATTAAATATGAAAAAAAAAGTTATACATTTTTACTTTATTATTATGATTATTTTCTTTTATATTTCTATTTTTTTCCTTTTTTTTGGTATAGATGTATATTCTCTCGTCAGAGCGAATGTGTGTTTCTTCTAAACTACTTATTTAAATGGTTGACTAATAGCACGGAGTGAGAAGAAGACCCTTCTGATCAAAGTGGGCAACATATGGACGTTTTTACTGGACCGCGTGCGGTTCTTCTTTTTTTATAAACTATACCTTCCTTATTTGGGGTAGGTGGTTTGCATTTTATCACTTACTGGTGACAATCTGGCAATAATTCTCATTTGCATTTTTTTTTTTAATTTGAATAAAATATAAAAGATTTTAAAAAATATACCAACCTTAAGTTCTGTTTAACTTGAGTTATATTAGGGTTAAAAAAATTCTTTTTACCAGTAATTTTCTGGAAGAGCTTAAAAAATGATTATTTTCCAATAAAAAGTTTAGTCAGATATGCACTAATTCAAAAAGAGTTTAAATTTTAAAAGAATGTAAGTTAAGAATGACACATATCACTCTAAGGGAGAATAAATTTTAGAATATTTTATCACATGATTTAAGTTATGCACAATTTTTTTAAATTTTCTCATATCACAATATATATAAAAGTATTAAGAAATATAGATACAATTGAATAAGAGGAAACTTGGAAATTTAAAAAATATCAACATTAAAACTAGTTTTTTTTTTTCGAGGCGTGAGCCATGCAATCCTCTCCCATTCTAAAATATAATTAGTAAATTCTCAAATGTTTGAACATGTTTAGGAAAGTAAGTAAGCGTGCGTTCCGTTGAATGTCTTTTTATTTTTATCTAATCATATTCTTTTGGTCTAATCTTGTTATAAAATTTATTTCAAAAAACCATAAAGAACTTTTTGATTAGCTTTTTTTTTTTAGTTCAAAAACAAACTTTTTAAGCCTCTCTGAAATTGTTTTTCCACTGAAAAAAAAACTTAAGAATGATACTTCTCTCTCTTAGTCTCTTTTGCTATTTTATTTATATATTTTTTAATTTGTTAGTTAGTTCCAGACTTCCAGGTGTTCATTTACATGACACAGATTTCATACAGGTATTTCAAGAAGTGCCAAATATGGCTTAGCTATTGGAGTTGGAATACCTGGACTCTTGTGTCTAATTGGACTTTCTTGCTTTATCTGCGGTAAGACCAGCGTGTTTATACATCGCCGACGGCGGAACACAGAGCTTCCGGGCACAATTTCCCTAGAACCCATTCCGTTTGCAATGGGGCTTGATGGTGCCACAATTGAAAAGTATCCCAAGACTCTTGTTGGTGAGAGTGGGCGTTTATTGAAGCCCAATGACAATACATGCTCAATATGCTTATCTGAATATGAGCCCAAAGAGACGTTGAGAAGCATACCTGAGTGCAGCCATTATTTTCATGCAGATTGTATAGATGAGTGGCTCAAAATGAATGGCACATGCCCCTTATGCAGGAATTCACCGGATACATCTTCCACGGTTACCTCTTCCTTTTCTTCCTTAAATCCCACTTCGCCATTGTCCTCTTCACCATAGATAGTCCAAGTCCATTCCACATATTTGATATAGTAAAGATCGAGAATAGTGTTACTATCTGTGTTATACTTTTATAAACTTTCCCCCCCAAAGATATTAAGTATCTTATTATTTAACTTATGAATGAAATGAGCCAGAAAAATATATAAAATCAAAATAAAGTAGGCTTTCAACCAAGCCCTGAGAGTTATCATTCATCTATAATAGAGGATGCAACAACCAACTATAAAAACATTGTGATGGAAAATAAAGTGTAAAAAAATAACTTCAGTGAATTAAACTTATATCAAATCAAGTGCTAAAAGACTAAACAACGCATGCATTTGATTTTCTTTTTTTAATAATACGAAGACAAACTTCATCTAAGTAAATTCACACACTTTTTTAAGATTTGAGTGCTCTTGTAAAACTGGGACAGATTATTCTGCCTATCTTTGCTTACTTATTTGATTACGTTCGATTACAATTTAATTCAATGGTCCATATTTATCAAATAAAATAAGGGTTTTATGTTTATCATTTAACATAATATAACTTCACTTTCCTACACACACATTAAAGAGGTGAGGTCCACATATTTTTCTTTCTCTTTCATCATTCCACTTTCTCTCTCCCTTTTGATGTGAGAGTTGGAAACAACACTTACATCATGTTACATAACACTAATAAAACCCATAAAATAAACCATTTTTCCCTTCTCTTTCTCTTCACTTCCTCCCACACCTTTTCTCTCTCCTTCCCATTCTGTCTTCCTGGCGACGAAGATAGATCCAAAATTTCGGTAACTAAAACCACTTCTTCCAAAACGAAAATTAATCTATTATCGTATCGATGAAAAAATTACATTATCATCTACCATTAATTTAATGAGTTCTTTAGTATATAGGTTGTTAAATTTATTAAAAACTCTAAAACCTACACAGTTTAATACCTCACTTTCTTCGTAAACAACCTGAAACCTCTTGGATTTATTGCATCGTGTTGCCTTGTGTTTTTCGCTATCAGAAGCTGACAATGAAGAACTCACCTTGTGGCATCGCCGCTTTGGATAGAGATGTAGAAAAAGAAAGGGTTTTTGTTTTTGTTTTTTTCAAATTCTTTTTCTGAAGTTGAAAAACTTCTCACTTCACATGGAGTTGGAGAGGGTGGGGGGTTAAAGAGGTCCACGGCGGCAGACACCAGCAATGAAAAAAATATATGGCGCCAGGAAGAGAGAAAGGGGAGGAGATAGAAAGGGTGTAGGAGGAAGTGAGGAGAAAAAAAGGAGAAAAAAAGTTTATTTTATTTGACAAATATGGACCGTTGGATTGGATTGTAATTGAACGGTAATCAAAGAGGTAGGCAAAGGTAGGAATGGGAGTAGGCAGAACAATCTGTCCATGTAAAACTAGGATAAAGATTTGTCTGTACTCTTACCGATAGCATTTTTAAAAATTAAATAAATTCACCATATAATTTACTTTTATTTTTTTGTATATAAAACGAACGCTAAAGCTATAGGTTGAATGTGTTTACTGTTTTTTCTTTCTAGGTTCAAAAAACGACTCGATTAATAGCTGTCACATGTACTTAATCATATGATTTTCATAAAAAATGATACTCTATTAAAACGGTTTTATTTAATATTAAATTATATATTGTTTATTAACATATTCTTGCAAAGGTAACACAATAACAGAAAGGGGATGTAGCTCATATGGTAGAGCGCTCGCTTCGCATGCGAGAGGCACGGGGTTCGATTCCCCGCATCTCCAATTATTTCATTTTATGAATCGAATCCAAGTGTTTGTTTAATCTGTTTTAATCTTATAAAGTTCTCAGGCAAATGAACGGTCGAAAATTGTAACGTTATCCAAATTTGTCAGTGGTGCACGCGATTCTCACTCAACTTTGATGCCATCTCCTTCTCCTCCTTCTCCTAACTGCCTCTCGTTCCTCATCTGTCCCTCTCCGAACAAAACCACAATGTTAATATAGCTATCAGCGCAGCGCCATAGTCATCAATTAAGAAACCTTCTCCTTCTTTCTATGATTTTCTGCTATGACTCTAAACTTGTGCACTCCTTGCTTCTCTCCTTTACTTCATCACCCTCTCTCTTCTTCTTCTTCTTCTCTTCCCAAACTGTCCTCTCTCTTGTTCACTACTTCCTCGCTTCCCAACCTATCGAGGTTCCTCATCGCTAAAGCTTCCGTCAGTGAGAGCCATAATGAAACCTCCGACGACACCGTTTCCGAGTCCGACCTATTGGACCAACAACTTGTTCTCCGAGTTGCCGCCACTGCCAAAGATTCCGACCACGCATTGCAAATGATCGCCGATAACTCTACCAGAAACGGCGGTGTCGTTTCCACCTTCGATTGTTGCTCCATTATAACCGCTGCGCTTAACCGGAATAATCCTCAACTTGCTTTGTCGGTTTTCTACGCCATGCGCGCCAGTTTTCATCAAGGTTATTTTGTCTGTATTTATTTTATTTTATTTTATTTAACTATCACAATTTGATAACACTTAGTGTTTGTGTGTGCTATGACCAGTTGGTGAGAATGGCCCTTTGGCTGAGAGATGGAAGTGGTCAAGGCCAAATGCACATGTTTATACATTGTTGATTCAGGGTTTGGCGGCATCGTTGAGGGTTTCTGATGCTCTTAAAGTGATTAAATATATTTGTGAGGTGGGCGTATCTCCTGGTGAGGAGGTATGGTATAAGAATCTTCGTTTTTCCTTCTTTCTCTGTGACTCATTTATGGCCCTGCATTCAATCACTACGCTTATACGTTGTAATATGTTTTGGCAATGATATTGCTTAAATTGAACTTGTTTCTGACACCAATGTCAACTGTTTTGAGTCATGGAATGCCGTCTGTATATTGTTGCAGGTCCGTTTTGGTAAGGTAGTGAGGTGTCCTAGTTGTCGGATAGCTATTGCTGTTGCACAGCCACAACAAGGTATTCAGGTATTCCCATGCCTATACCAGACATTGATTCTATCAATACTTTGATTATCATATCTAATTTACTGATCCATATTTCTGTCGATATTCTCTAATTTAATAAACCCCGAATCATTGGGATAAACAAGGACTGAGAGTTGTTGTTGGGGTATAATCTTATGCTAAAATATCCGTTCAGTGCACAAGTAAATTGTGTTGGACCAGTACCCCTCGGGCTAGATTAAAGGATCACTCAACTACTATTATAACCTTGCCAAACTTCCATTCCATTCTTGGTATGCTGACATTAAGTCCAAACTAACGAAAAAAGGAGCTTGTAACAAAGATAAATATATTGTTCAATTGTGTTGATTGGAGGGTGATTATGGAAAAGGAGCCTCAATTTTTTTTTCCTGTAAGCTCATAGGGTTTTTTTTTTGACAACTTGCTCTTTGACTTCCCTTCAATTTCCTGGGTGAATTTTTTTATATACTTGAGTATTATTGACAATTATTATCTTATTAACAAAGTTCGTTGATGGGATGTTGTCAATAAGGATTAATCCTCACTGTTTACAGAACTAGGAATAAGTTGTTATCATTAATTTTGAAGTAATTTTCTGCTGTGCTCACCTGTTGAGATACATGAGGCTATCTTTTCATTGGCTCTCCGAGATATCTTTTTTTTAGTGAAACTCTGGATACCGGTCTCGTGTGATATTTTCATAGGATAGGATAGTTTTAAGGTTGACATGAACATTTCTGCTGCAGATAGTATCTTGTGCAAAGTGTCGCTACCAATATGAACTTGTTTCTGGTGACATAGTCAGTATTCAATCGGAAGAAATCAGGTTGGTTTGTCATATCACTATTATTTTCTTTCATCTAGTCTATTGACAAAAATATCCCAAAATTTATTAAATTTGATAGGGAGTGCTAGTGTGGTTTTTCTGCGTATTTACCTTTAGTTAGGATGACATTTTAACTTCTTTGTTGGTAGATTTTGAGATTGACTGATCTACTAATCCTATATCTTGAGATGGATAAAAGGATTTCTGATTTGCTTGAGGAAATCCTCAACATGATTAATTATATCTGCATGATTTACAATTTCTAATATGAGGAAACTAGGAAAATAAGGAAACTAGGAAATTAGGAAAACAATACAAGTCAAATCCTAATGATTTACAGAAGTATATATAGCTCAATTTACAGTCCCTAAATAGGAGATAATTTCCAACTCTATATTTTCTGTGGTGAGTGCCATAATAAGTTGATCCAGTATTTCCCTTTTTCTCCTCCCTTTTATTTGGTGTGACCAATGTCTGTCCTTTTGAATATAACAATATGTATGTGTATGGTGTTGATCATGGAGTATTCACTTTTTCTAAGGATCTCCTCCTGCCGAACGCAGCATGGATATTACAGCTTGGGAAAGGGGGTTAAGATTCCTGAAACTGATGAAGCAAAGCATTCCTGCTGCTGTTCACTCTATTGTGGTATATAATCTTCACTCACCTTTGACATTTGATTGTGAGGAAATCTTCTGGTTATGTAATCATGCAAGAGCTGAAATTGAGGACCTTTATATGACTTGTGGTTAGTCAGTAGTGAAAAGCCAGTGAAACAGTGAATAACTTTTGATGCATTAGCATTTTCAGACTTCTACTTTTTGAGTTCTATGAATATATACCCACCCTTCTAGTAGTAGAAATTTTACTGCAAATAGATAATTATGACCTTTTGAAAGGTATTTTATATGCCAATGTTGAGTCCTTCTACTAAATGTTGGAAATAATTCTGCTGTGATATATCATATCACCCCAGCCAGGACCTCATTTGGAGATACATTGGGTAAAGGTTTCTTTCCCAGCTTTGAGTCATTTCAGCATTACTTTTGTATTTTTTAAAATTTGTGCAATGTTGTAAGCCTGTTGCCAATTTCTTGTATTCTTTTGTATGATTCCCGGTTCCCACCTTCATTGATCCTTTCCGTTTGTCGTTTTGCTCCATAAGTAAATATATGTTGCTTTCTTGTGTCTTCTTATTAATTTGGAAATGGAGTCTGAGATTGAAGAAACCAGTGCTTCAATTCGTAGTTGCGTTATATATTAATTTGTTACTGAAATAACCTCATGTCAATTACTGATATCCTTACCTAACACTTCTTTACATGACGTTTCGTTTTTATTACCTCTTTACATGTATCCTTTCTTTTCCTGCAATTTAGGTACAGACCCCTTCTGGTATGGCTCGCACTCACAGATTTGCAACTGAAACGGTTGATCTGCCGGCACAAGAAGGTGAAAGGATAACTATTGCTGTGGCAGCTCCATTGAATGTATATAGAAAGGTGGGCCCCTTTAAATTCAGTCCAAGGGCCCCAGATTTCTATCCTGGTGAGGCTATGTGCATAACAAACCACAAAGATGGGCGGGAATCACTTCTGTTAAGAGCCCCAAGAAAAGAAGAAAATTCATCATTACTTAAACCCTCCCTCCTCTTTCCACTTCTTGCTTTGTTGGCCACTGGTGATGCTGCCTCTGGACTTATTGACCCCAGCCTGCCCCAATTCCTTTCAGTTGTTGCAGTTTCATCTCTTGCTGTTGGATCTACGGTGAACTCCTTTGTTTTGCCCCAGTTAAATCAGGTACGTAGTTAATTGATCAGTTTTTGTCCCCTTGACAGATGCGCATTTATCTTCTCTTCATCCAACTACTTTTACTTCTCAATAGAAGCAATATTCTGTTGACAACACTTTATAATTTTGTTTCTCCTATCAAAAATAAACTTTGAAGAGATAGTTGTTTCTTCAGTTGTCACTTTCAGTGATTTAAACTTCCAATTCATGGCAAAAAATAAAATAAAGCCTTCCTCCTATTCACAACAGAGGGGGATTTGTACCTTGTCCCATTACTGCACATCCTTGAATGGAGGAAACAAAAAATAAGTGTGATTCTTATAATTCCTCTCCAATTTTGATTTGCCAGCCCCTTTATTCACTGCTCGCACATTAATAATTATGAATGCTCTCAAGAAAGAGATATTCAGCTACATTTATTTATGGTTACAGCTTCCGCAAAGGTCAGTAGAAGCAATTGCTATCAAACAACGACTTTTATCTCAATATGATGTGCTTCTGTCTCGCATCAATGACCTAAAAGAAGCTGCAGAAAAAGAGGTGCGTTACTTGCATGATTTGTAATTAGCATGATGATATTGACCTTCATTTACTTTTTTTTGGGGAGGGGAAGGGCTTATATTTCCATTAGATTTTAGCAGTTAATCTATCCTAATTTACCACTGCTTATAATCACAATAATAGTATATTCTTTTGGAGAAACCCACAAGTTCATCAAGGGAAGATGTGAAGTGCTTTTGCCTCAGACATGAGAATTCACGCTAACAAATTCTGCTTGGGTTGAGTTCCTTTTAATACAGTGCTACATTGTGGGAGAAAAATTGAATTTTTTTTAATAATATGGTCCTTTAACTGACAAACAACATTGACTGATATTTGATAATATTCACACAATCCATTCTGAAACGTCCTGCATCTTCACATAAATGTTGCTCTATATACCTTCCTTACTAAGAAGAAAAGACATAATGTCATGTCTGGCTCTAATTTGCACGAAAGTCTCATGCAAAAAGCTGCTTTGTTGAAAAATCAGCCTGATTGAAAATTTGAACTAAATGCAGAATAATTTATAATTGAATTGAAGTATTTAAATTATATACTAGCAACTTAATTATTAGTTGCTGATAAAATTACTTAAAAATGTCATTAGTATCTTCTGGAAATTATCTGAGCAAAGTTCATTGGTTGTTTTCCCATGATGAGAGTAAGATTGTATAAAAATCATTTTTGAAGATAATAGTTTCTTTCCTCTCCTTCTGTGGAAATTATATGTGTAGCTTGAGTTATAAATTTGATTTACTTCTTTTGTAGATTTGGATGTTAGCTCGAATGTGCCAACTTGAGAACAAAATCTCAGCTGTTGGAGAACCTTCTTATCGGTGAATTTCTATAACATCATACAAAATCTCTGTTTCTAGTATAATTGACGAAATAATCATTTTTTCCAAGATGACCATTTTGTGCTGATGTTTGCAAGTTTCGTTTTTTGTCTTTACTCCTCTTACATTGGTCTAGTCTGAAGATCCCATTTATCATTTTATTTATATCTAGGACTCGGAGTAGTAAAGTCAAAAGGGTACGAGAGAACCTGCTAAGTTCCCTCAGGGGAAGGATTGAATTGATTGACAGCTATGCTAGGGTATGCTTTCGTTAAAAGTGTGAATAGAATCTTTCTCCTCCTGAAAAGTAGGAAAAAACAGTTCTCCTTATTGCTTTTGCAATATTTAAGTCAATAAATGTGTGTTGATAGTGCTGTTTGGTCAGATTTCCTCAATGATCGAAATTGAAGTGGAGATGGAAACTGATGTTCTTGCCGCTGAAACTGCTAGTAATGTGGTAAAGCACTTAATCAATATGTTTCTTTTGGTCATGATATCCTGCTATAACAAGTTTAATTCCTTAGCTTAGTGTCCTTGTTTTACAGGATAGTATCACAGAACAGATAGAGCAAATCATGGAGCTTGAAAATTTGGAGGAGGTATATTCTTCTAAAATGCAAGCCTATTATCGGGCATTGTAGATTTGTAGTTATGAATATGGCCAATTACTCTCAAAAAGCCTCACAAAAATATTCCTCCCAGAATTGCAATAAACTTCTTAGACTAGGAAGTAGAAAGCCAACTATGAAACCATTTCTATTCGAGATTTTTCTTTTGATCTGAATGCGTAGCCAAGCAATTAAACATATCCCTCCTTAATCCTACTAAGTACCAAGAAAATCATTGCAGCATTTCCTCAGACATGTTGACCTGCTATGATAGATGAAAATTTTGCGCTTTAATGTGATTTTAACTGTGTCATGTATTCTGGTGACAATCTAATCCAGCTTAACACGGGTTTGTCTTTACCAGGACGTTTAATCCGATAGTAACAATTTAATCCTTTAAAAGTTTGAGGCCTTTGCTTTGTTTAGTAACAGAAAGTGTATTTGTTTTACTTTTCTATACAGAGATGGAAAATACAAGCAGAAGCCAATGATGAGGCCGAAAGACTTCTCAGTTCCCAGCCCATGCCTTTTGAGGAAGTTTAAAGATGTATGTATGCATCTGGGTTCGTGCTGCTGCATCATTAGTTGAGCCTCACTTCCCAGCTCAATGATCTGTTCTTGACGAAGCAAAAGAGCAGTTTCCAGTTACCTCTGCCTTTTAGCTGGCAATTTTTGAAATTTTGATATTCTTAGAACAATCTCCACCATGTCTCGAGAAGGATTGCCTTGTATATGATCATTAATATGGGAGTGAGTGGCATCTAATACAAATATTTTTCACCACAGAGAACCGTCCTCGTCGCTTTCAAAGTCAAAGGTAGATAACAGCACATAGTGATGTAAAGGCGTTGTTAATCATCTTGGTACTATTTCATTGAGGAACATTTATCTGGTTCCCAAATTCTGGTTCATAACAATTTCTTGCACTCGCCACAAGGAACTAAACTGAGTCCGTCGGTACCTTAAATGCGTAGGAATGAGTTAATATGTATTAAATAAGGGAAAATTATATCTGCAGTTGTGCTAGAAATAATTTTCCTGCCACACACAAAAAAACAGAGCGAGTTCTATCACTTTTTATCTCTCATTTCTTTATAGTTTTTCTCTCTTATTTTTGTATCCGTGGGAGGAGCACAACCCATCAAATAACTAACTATTGTTATTGTTTTTTATGTATACCTAACTAACTATCCCTTAAATTTGTGAAATTATTACCCCATTCATGATTTCTGAGATAAAAGTTTGGTCGTTTTTCACTTAATTACCAAAACATGAAGTAAACAATTTTAATCCTGTAAAAGTTGACCTAGTAGTCCCCAACCAAACCTAGTCGAATAGAATATTAAATGATTCTATTATTAGTTATACTAATACTAAAGTTTTATTTAAGAGATTACTCATATAATATTTGTGTTTTCTGGTCTTTATTAAGTAAATATTGAAACGTTGTATGAGGCCTCCCCTGGGGGCTCCTTCTCGTTGTGGGCTTGGTCTTGAAAATTACACAAAAAAATGAAGAGCAATGAACTAAGCATCAAAACAGAACGACGACCAGCACCAGTCCAACCCTACTTGAAACGCTTAAATTATCCATTAACGCAATAATTCACAATCAATTAGGACCACGTTGTTTCTTTCCCCTCCCAAATGGGCGTGGGATAGAACGACACGTATTTCCTTTTATAAGAAAATATGTAACATAACACACTTGTTTTGAATTTTATAATGTCGGTGGGTTAGGTGTTTTCTCTTAATTTAAATTTTAATATTTTACAATTATCTCTATTTAAAAATAAACCAATACATGGGTGCCAACAAAACTGACGTAATTGGCTTTCCACTTATAACAATTATACGATTAAGTTCAAACTAATAATTTCCTAGTTGATATAATTCTACCTCAAATCCTTATTGAAGTCAAGATTCGTGCTTAAATAAGAATAATCTCCCCTCACTTTGAACTCTTATGGACCGAAAAAATAAATAAATACCTTCATGAGTGTCCCCTTCTATTATTAAGCTAGCTTTTTGTTCCTTTTTTTTTTTTAGAAAAATGTTTAGTGCATATTCTTTGAGTGTATGTCACCTCGCATAATTTATAAGTAATAAAATCAAAATGCATAGATACAAAAAAATGACGTGTGATCATAAATAGTATGAATAATAAAAAATTTGAAGTAATATGTACAAGTGTGCGTAAGTTAATATTATCTTTTGATAAAAAAAATTGTATTTGGGGCCTTTGTCTTATTGAACTTTCAACAAATAAAAATACAAAAAATCTTATTCTTAAAAGGAGGCCTTTTTTCCTTTCTTGAGGTTAGTGTAAAGTTTTTTTTAAAAAAAATTAACTAAGTTGTAAACTATATTAAACAGTTATCAAATTAAATTAACTATTTGTCAAACTAATACTATTAATGATTCATATAATTGAATTAATCATTCTGCATGTCACATTAATTATGGTATTCCCATCGTTTGGTAGGACAGGATTCCCCAAATTGAAATATTATGAATTTACCATCATTGCCAGCCTTGGTCAAATTTTCTTGTAATGATTGTTGGGATGATTCCACGTTTTATGAGTCTTCGTCGATTTTCTTTATGATTCCACTTTTTGGCTGTCCTTGTTTGTGATTTTGTTTTGTTCCTAAGGATATATTGAATGGGTACTTCCTTAGTCCATATTCCAATTGCATGTTCTTTTGTGTACGAAAGCACTAACTCAAGGAACCGAGAAGGTCCTACAACAATAAAGTTAAAAGCTTCAACCCTCTCTAAGGGTGGGTTGCTATTATAATAGAGGTGGGTGAACTCACAAGGGACAGTTGGCTTAAGATGATTGTAAAGTGTGACTCCAACAAGCTAGAGGCATGTCCTAGCTTTATGACCAATCTGGAAATGACAAATATCGCAATACACATGGCACGTGGTAATATTTAAATGAGAAAATGTAATACATTAATCAAAGTATATGTCAAGTTTATATAAAATTGTGTGATTTTTTATTGAAGATAAAAATTGAATATTACACACTCGTATAGAAGCAAATCGATGTGCAGGTTGGCATCCAAAACCTTTACCAATATTGAATCATTTGTATCTTATTCCTGGATTCCGTCACAACTTTATTATATTGTAACCTCTTACTTAAGAATAGTTTTTCTTGTTTAATTATTTTTTTCCCTTGGGCTATGCCCCTTTCCTGTACTAAAAATTGAATATTACAAAAACAAAATGTATATTTCTTTTATAAGAAATTTTTATAAAATAATATTTTATATGTTTTTTATACAATTGTTATGGGAAAACATACGTAAGGGAAAAATAAAAATTCATTCGGATAATCTTACAGTTTTGGAACAATGAACACGAAATCCCCGAAGGGTTTGGGCGGTGAACGGATATTCTTAAAGTTTCGGAACAATGAACACGAAATCCCCGAAGGGTTTGGGCGGTGAAGGGATGTTCTTATTCTATTTGACAACAAAAGCATGTTGACTTTGATGGATGAAGCTTCTGGAGGTTGATTAATGAGTTTAAAAAAAAAAAATTAAAGTGTATGTACAAATTAAAATTCTTAAAAAGAAAACAACTTTTTACTTTTTTGTTAAAAAAAAAGACAACCTTGTTCTTGCTAGGTAAGAGTGTAAATGAGTTATATCAGCCTATAGGAATCTATGATCTAACTTATATTATATCAGATTTGATTTATTATAAATAGTAAAATATAACAGATTTAAGTTTTTAAAAAAAAACTTATTTAAAAAATAGGCCGTAGGCTCATTTGTACATATATAAGCTTATAAGTCAGCCTATATCATACTCTTTAATTTAAATAAAATAAATAAAATTACTATTTTAATAATTTTGAATAATAAAGTAATATTATTTTAGTTATTCTTTTAATTATTGAATGTGTAATAAGTTTAAACAGGTTAATAGATTTATATCAATACTTTATTTTTTATTTTTTAAATATAGATCAGATCAGACTTGTAATTAAGAGCCTACACAGATTAATAAACTGGACCAGACTCAATATTTTTTACATACACATCATCATTTAAGTCAAAACATAAGTTAATTTAACCAATTAACATCCCTATTATTCAGTACTATCGTCTCGTCTCACTTTTGTCGTAACAACTTAAAAGAAACTCCCTGATTTTAGTGAAATTCGCGTTTATTAATATTTAAAAACTACCTATTTTTTTGCGGTCCAGATCTTCTTCTTTTTTAAAAAGAAAAACGGAAAAGAAAAAGCGGTCCAACTACAAAGATTGCACGCCATATATAAAATTTACTAGAAATTCCTGAACATTCACGAAACCATTGCATGTGATTTCCTTCAACATACGAAAGTACATGTTTAATTATTATTATTATTGCAAGTAAATTATATACATAAATGAATGTGGATTACGTAAGCGCCCCTTTAGGCTTTTGCCAACAATCCATTGAAATTTGAAACGCCAACGAGATAGAGTCATAAAGATAGCACTAAAGATGGTGGAGCAGTCCAAAATAATTTTTGACTTTGAATCTTTCAGGATTATCATCTTCATCACTACCACAATTTCGTCATTTAATATAAATAATCTATAACATGAAATCGATATTTTAGTAGTATATTTTTAAAATTAAAAAAAAATCATTTTGTTATTTATAGTATGAAGTATTTATTTTGAGTTGGTTTATAATATGTTATTTACTTAGAATACAATAAAATGATATCAATCACATATTAAAGAGAAATGTTAACAATTAATGACATGCAAAAATTAACTAAGAAAGTAATATCCTATTTCAGTCTAAAAAACATTTGACTCATCCCTCATTTGCTCAAAGTTCGGATCTTTACTTTTTTATTAAATCCCTCAATACGCGATCCACGCAGATTACTCACGATTAGGGAAAGATAGTTATTCATTTCATAAATAGAGGTTAAATTATAATATTCATCTTACGAGTACTTGCAAATCTAGAAAATATACTCCTTATTTAATTATTACATAATTCTTTCTGTTTGAGATAAAAAAAAATTATTGTTTTATAGTAATTTGTTAATGAATAAATCAGTAATTATAAAAATTATTCAAAAATATACAATACGCATCTAATAATTATTTTATGCCAATCATTTATCATAATATATAATTAAACTTACACATTATTTAGTATTTTTTAGTTTTATAAAAAAAATATAAATTATCAACGGTATTATTGTATATCATATTAAAATTTGTATTATACATATATATATATATTGTATATTTTAAAATTATATTTTAAAAATTCTAAATACGTGCTAATATTTATAAATGGTCATCTAACCGTGAAAATCATTAGTGGATATCATTAGTGGATATTTAGGAGGCGTTTGGATCACGATTTTGTAATATTTTCCCATCCATCTGACATTGGGAAACGAATACGTCCATGTTTGGTTCAGAGAATTGAAATATTTGCCTTGCTTTCTTATTGCATAGCTAATCAGAAAAGTGTGTAAAAATCAAAGCCACTGCACTGTTGAGAAAAACAATAACAAGGTGGTATTTTGTAGGGGTGTTCGCGGTCTGGATTGAATCGGTTTTGGAAGCAAAATTCATCCGATCCAATCCCTTCGGTTTGATCATATAATCATCCATTCAGTTTTGATTTGTTTTCAAATCCGATCCGATCCAATCCAATTTTTTTCGGTTTAGATTGGATCGGTTTTCGGTTTTTTAAAAATCCTAAAATTTATTTCATGATTATTGTGCAAATAACATCTTTTGTATATATTGGCTTTGTAAATTAATTTTTTTTGAAATACAAAAGAATTAATAAACTATAATATAGTTTTTTTTTTTGTAATGAGATATGAATCTCTACAAAGATAAAATTTTGTTGATGAGATGTGACTAGATTTTTTTTTGGGTTTAGTTAATGGGCTAATGGGTCTTAGGTTTAGAAATTTTTAGGCTATGATTAGGGAAAGACCCAATAGGTAG